TAGCCTTGCTCAGTTGCCTGTTGCTAGTGTAGGTTCTTGTGTAGACTCTAGTCCAGCGGCTACCTCAGAGGACGGTTCGCTGTCGTTCACGCTGGACTCTGGAGCCTCTCACTGCTTCTTTCGTGACAGCACGACACTTACGCCTCTTCCTGCGCCTGTTTCTGTGGCGCTGGCTGATCCCACTTCGGGACCAGTCACCGCGCGTCACACTACCACCTTGCCGTGTCCGGCTGCTCCTTCTGGGTCTCTCACTGGGTTTCACGTCCCCTCGTTCTCCCGGAACTTGGTGGGCGTGCGACCCCTCGTGAGTCAGCACGTGGGTGTGTGGTTTGAGCCTTCTGGAGAGACTGCGGTGTGTGTTGACGGGGACTCTTACCAGCCCCTCGCCACTTTTGCTGCTGAGCCGGGCTCCGGTCTCTACACTCTTCACACTGGCCCGCGCGCTCAGCAGCGACTGCAGCAGCAGCAGCAGCCGCAGCAGCAACAGCAGCAGCAGCAGCAGCCGCAGCCGCAGCCACAGCCGCCCCTCCTGCCCCCGGCCCCTGTTTTGCCCCCCGTTCGAGTCCTCGCGTCTCACCAGGTTGCTCCGTCCCCCCAGGTAGCTGTGTCTTGTCAGGTTCCTCCGTCTAGTCCGGTCGCTGCGTCGTGCTCCTGTCGGTCGCTTGCCCACCCCACCGTTTTGTGGCACCACCGGCTGGGGCACCCTTCTCCTCCTCGTCTTCGCGCTATGTCTCGTCAGCGTCTTGTCTTAGGTCTCCCGCGTGTCTTGCCGTCGCTGCCGCCGTCCCTTGCACCACCGTGCGGTCCTTGCGTCGAGGGTAGGCTGCGCGCCACCCCTCACTCCTCCTCCCTTCGTCCGGCCACCGAGCCTTTTGAGACGCTGCACTTGGACGTCTGGGGCCCCTCTCCTCGCCCTGGCCCTGAGCGTGAGCGTTTCTTTTTGGTGGTCGTTGACGACTACTCCCGCTACACCACAGTGTTCCCCCTGGCGAGGAAGTCTGAGGTGACTTCTACGCTGATCAGGTGGTTGCTTACCACCCAGGACACTCGTGGTCGTCGTGTCAGCTGTCTCCACTCCGACCGCGGGGGCGAGTTTCGCTCCGGCATTCTCGCTGGATTCTGTCGCGAACAGGGCATTCGTCAGTCCTGGACGCTTCCGGAGTCCCCACAGCAGAATGGGGTTGCTGAGCGTCGCATAGGCCTGGTCATGGAGATTGCCCGCACCTCCTTGACTCACGCCCGTGCCCCCCATTTCCTGTGGCCATACGCGGTCAGGTACGCCGCGCACCAGCTGAACCTCTGGCCACGCGTCTCTCGGCCGGAGGCTTCACCGACCAGTCTTTGGACAGGGTCCCCTGGTGTCGCGTCGAGGTTTCGTGTCTGGGGGTGCTTGGCTCTTGTCCGCGACACCTCCGCGGACAAGCTCTCGCCTCGCGCCGTTCCTTGTGTCTTCCTTGGTTTCCCTGAGGACTCCTCTGACTTCACCTTTTACCACCCTCCCTCTCACCGGTTCTTTGACTCCCGTGACGTCCGTTTCGAGGAGTCCACCCCCTACTACGTCAGGTACCCCAGTCGAGGTCTCCCGGTCCCTCCCCCCCCTCTCTTCCTGACCGCCGCTCCCCCGCCTGCTCCCCCGGTACAGCCTCCCCCCCCTGGTCCAGCCCCGTCTGGTGTGTCTCAGGCTAGCCCTCCCCCTTCGGTAGCCCCCCCTGTACAGCCTCCCTCCCCACAGTCTTCCTCGCCGCCTCCTGCAGGTGCTCCCTCTCGGGAGGTTGGTCCTGCGACTGTCCCTGTACAGGTCTCTGGTTCTGGGGGTGCTGGAGTTGGAGCTGAGCCGCGGGTTGCAGAGGACTCTTGTCTTCCGGGGGCTGGTACTGGTCGTGCGGAGTCTGGGGGTGCTGGTGCGGAGTCTGGGGGTGCTGCGTCTGGGGGTGAGGGTGTCCCTTCGGTTTCTGGAGAGCCTGGGTCTGGAGCTGGTGTTGGTGCTGCCTCTGGGGGTGGTGTGCTTGGTGCTTCGGAGGTCGACTCTGGGGCTGCCGCTGCCCCGGACACTACTCCTTCCCCCCACCCCTACCCGACCAGGTTCCAGGCTCGTGTTCGCCGTGCTCGTGAGGAGCAGCTGGAGTTGGAGAGAGAGGAGAGAGAGTTGCAGCGGCTCGAGGAGCAGGAGCGACAGCAGCAGGAGCAGCAGCAGGAGCAGCAGCAGGGGCAGCAGCCGCTGGAGCAGCAGCAGCCGCAGCAGCAGCAGCAGCAGCAGCTGCTGCCGTCTCCTCCTCCTGTCTCGGGTCTTCGGACCCTTGGTCTCCCGTCTCCCTCTCCTTCCTCCTCCCCCTCTCCTCCCGTCTCTGGTCCTCCGCTTCCTCCTCCTGACCCCTCTCCCGCTGTTTTCCCTCGTTCTCAGTCTTCGTTGTCTCCTCCTCCTTCTCAGACTTGGGCCTCTCGTCGCTCCCCTCGTGCTCGTCCCTCGTCTCCTGTTCCCTTCACTGACCTTCGTACAGCCTTCCTTTGTTCTCGTCCACCTCGTCCGTCTCCGTCTGTGCTTCCGTCTCCTCCTGAGTCGGCCCTCACTGTGTCGCTTCCTTCTCCTGTCACTGACTACTACCGCACGTACCGTCCTGTTCTCTCTCGTGTTCTCGCCTCTCTTGTTACCCACCCTCGTGCCTCTGTGTCCTCTGTGTCCGCTCTTACTGCCGCAGTCACTGAGTTTGCCTCTACCCGCCGCCTTGACTTCGCCACCGCTCTTGTGGCTGCTCCTCCTTCCAGTCCTCTGGCCGTCGGGGGTGTGTCTGCCCTTGGCTGTGACGCCCTAGAGGACAGGCAGTTTGAGCTAGAGTTCCTGGCGGCCGCTTCCCCTCATCTCTGTGCCATGCTCCTCGCCCCTGAGGGTGACCCCGACGCCCTTGACATTCCGACTCCTCGCACTTACGCTGAGGCAGTGTCAGGACCTTGGGCCTCTCAGTGGAGAGCTGCCATGGACGCAGAGATGGCCTCCTACAGATCCACAGGCACTTACGTCGATGAGGTTCCCCCTCCTGGGGCGAACATAGTCGACGGCATGTGGATCTACAGGGTGAAGCGGCCACCGGGATCTCCTCCGGTCTTCAAGGCGCGCTACGTGGCTAGAGGTTTCAGTCAGCGCGAGGGAGTTGACTTCTTTCAGACCTTCGCGCCCACCCCGAAGATGACCACTCTTCGGGTGTTACTACACGTAGCAGCACAGAGAGACTACGAGTTACACTCTCTCGACTTCTCTACTGCTTTCCTTCAGGGCAGTCTTCACGAGGAGGTCTGGTTGCGTCGTCCCTCTGCCTTCACTGGCTCTTTCCCTCCTGAGACCCAGTGGAGGCTGAGGCGACCGGTTTACTGTCTTCTTCAGGCTCCTCGTGAGTGGCACGACACCCTGCGTTCTACCCTGTCTGACCTTGGGTTCCAGCCGTCTTCTGCTGACCCGTCGCTGTTCGTTCGTCGTGGCCCCACACCTTTCTTTGTTCTGGTCTACGTTGACGACCTTGTTTTCGCCACCCCTGACAGGGTTGCTTTGGCACACGTGAAGTCCGAACTGCAGAAGAGACACACCTGCACTGATCTTGGTGAGCTGCGCCACTACCTTGGCCTGCAGATCACCAGGGACAGAGCTGCTCGCACCATTACACTTTCACAGTCGCACATGGTGCAGCAGGTCCTTCAGCGGTTCGGGCTTCAGCACTCCACAGTACAGCGCACACCTCTTGCTGTTGACCACAGACTCACTGGACCCTTTCCTGACGAGCCGTTCGAGCCTAGTGGTCCCTACGCAGAGCTTGTGGGTTGCCTCATGTACCTGATGACTTGTACTCGCCCGGACCTCGCCTTCCCTCTCAGCGTTCTTGCGCGCTTTGTTGCGCCAGGGAGACACCGTCCTGTTCACTGGACAGCAGCTGTGAGGGTGGCGAAGTACCTAGCGACGACGTCAGGCGTGGGGCTAGTTCTTGGAGGGCAGCAGTCTGTCGTACTTACTGGTCACTGTGACTCCTCTTACGCTGACGACGCTGAGACTCACAGGTCTACTCAGGGGTACTGTTTCAGCCTGGGTTCTGGAGCTGTTTCCTGGCGGTCCACGCGCTCCTCTTCGGTCTCGACCTCTACAGCTGAGGCTGAGATCTACGCTGGTGCCATGGCGGCACAGGAGCTGCGTTGGTTGACCTTCTTGCTCACCGACCTTGGTGAGCGGCCGAGCTCTGCACCGACCTTGTTCACTGACAACAAGGCGTCTATTCTCCTTTGTCGAGAGCCACGACTGGAGAGCAGAGTGAAGCACATTCACGTCAGGTACTTTCTTCTGCGAGAGTTGCAGAGGCGTGGACAGGCTCGCTTTGAGTTTGTGGAGTCCGAGGCCAACATTGCAGACATCTTCACCAAGGCGCTTCCGCCTTGTGACCACCAGAGGTGCTGTGTGCAGTTAGGCCTTGTTGACACTGGTTCTCGTGTTGCTTAGGCTTGAGTGTACTGTTTACTTTGCTTTCTATATATCTCTGTTACTTCTTGGACTGGCCTTGTGGCCACTGTTGTTTGTGCTCAGACTGTGTGGTGACGTTGTGATCCACCCTGAGCTTCGTTTCTTGGACTGGTCTTGTGACCGTACTCGTTTGGTTCTGCTAGACACCCCTCACTTAGGCTATGGGGGTGTGTCAAATGTTGTAGCCTATAGTGAGGTTTGTCTTAGGGGGTACAAAACTTAGGGTTAGCTATATGTACCCCAACCAACATCAATGCATCATCCATTCTTCATTCTGACACGTACATGTCAAATCAAGACAACATCATTCAATAAAGTGCTTGGTTTTATAGCCAAAGTAGTGGCACGTCACCATTCATTTACAAAAATGGTCCATTGTGCGCTGCAAGGAGGACACACCCTTCTGTGATGCTTACATCATCCCCTGAATAGACACCAAGCCAGGAAGCCCGCTGGTCACACATCCAACAGTTGGCGTACCATCCACCCACAAGTGGAACCATTGATGGTACATCAGTAAAAGGCGGATTACTTGTGCTGCTGACAGAATTGGTCATGTTAGGGAGTAGAATGGCTGCTATGTTAAGGGATGCCCCCCAGATATTAGGGTACTGATTGACTCCAGCTTTACAGAGGGTAAACCTGGAAGTAAGCTGGATGTCCCTTGATCAGTTGTAGGTATATTGGCAGGGAAAAAATGTTCAGCTGGAGCTTTCAGCGGAACAGCTGCTGCTGCTGCAGCTGCAGCAGCAGCAGCAGGGGCAGTGGTCGCAGCAGCAGCAGCGGAAGAGGCAGCAGCAGCAGCAGCAGCAGCGGCGGCGGCGGCGGCGGCGGCGGCGGCGGCGGCGGCGGCGGCGGCGGCGGCGGCGGCGGCGGGCGGCGGCGGCGGCGGCGGCGGCGGCGGCGGCGGCGGCGGCAGCAGCAGCAGCAGCAGCAGCAGCAGGCAGGCAGTAGTAGGGGCAACAGCAGCAGCAGTGGTGGTCGTAATGGCTGGTCCCGTTTTTCCTGCCTCTGCTTCTGCTTCTGTGTTTGCTTCTCCTTCCCCTGCTGCTTCACCTTCTCCGGCTGCTTTCTTTTTGGCCTTGCTCCTCCAAGATTGCTTTCAGACACGGCTACACGCAGCCCTGATGGTACTGCCACTGCCCCTCCTGCTGCTACTCCTAAAGCAGCAGCACCAGCAGCAGCAGCAGAAGCAGCATATCAAGCAGCAGCAGCATCCGAAGCTGCAGGAGCATCAGAAACAGGATCAGCAGCACCCGAGTTTGAAACAAACATCACACCCCTTTCAACTATTGCAGCAGCAGCACGTTGCAACCCATCCTCATCCTCACCACCACCAAGCTCCCAATCCCCTTCCCCCTTCCCAACCTCATCTCCTCTCTCTCCGTCCCCACTCCCTTCCTCCAGCAGCGGCTCAAGCACCTCCGGCCGCTTGCTGCCCTATCTTCACATCGCCATGCATGCCGCACTGCCCTGTCTTGACATCCCCACGCATGCTGCACTGCCCAAAGCAATGGACGGATCAGGGCAGACAGCCACCCCTAGGCACCGCGCTTGTGAGGCGAGTTTTAAGCCAGACTCAAAACGAGGTGACTTTGACTTTTGAGTCGACTCAAAAGAGGTGACTTTGACTTTTGAGTCGACTCAAAAGAGGTGACTTTGACTCTTGAGTCGACTCAAAACGAGGTGACTTTTGAGTGACTTTTGAGTCGACTCAAAACGAGGTAACTCTGACTTTTGAGTCGACTCAAAAGAGGTGACTTTGACTTTTAAGTCGACTCAAAACGAGGTGACTTTTGAGTGACTTTTGAGTCGACTCAAAAGAGGTGACTTTGACTTTTGAGTCGACTCAAAAGAGGTGACTTTGACTTTTGAGTCGACTCAAAAGAGGTGACTTTGACTTTTGAGTCGACTCAAAAGAGGTGACTTTGACTTTTGAGTCGACTCAAAAGAGGTGACTTTGACTTTTGAGTCGACTCAAAAGGTGACTTTTGACTTTTGAGTCGACTCAAAAGGTGACTTTTGACTTTTGAGTCGACTCAAAAGGTGACTTTTGACTTTTGAGTCGACTCAAAAGGTGACTTTTGACTTTTGAGTCGACTCAAAAGGTGACTTTTGACTTTTGAGTCGACTCAAAAGAGGTGACTTTGACTTTTGAGTCGACTCAAAAGGTGACTTTTGACTTTTGAGTCGACTCAAAAGGTGACTTTTGACTTTTGAGTCGACTCAAAAGGTGACTTTTGACTTTTGAGTCGACTCAAAAGGTGACTTTTGACTTTTGAGTCGACTCAAAACGAAAGAGGTATAAGAAAGGGCAGCGTGCGGTGGGTGAAGAGATTAACGACTGTGCATCCCAGCCGCACGCAGGGGACAAGGGAGGAAAGGGATCGTGGACAGATGGAGAGCGAATGGGCAGCATGTGGAGCGTGAAGAGATCCACGAGTGCGACTCCCAGCTTGATGCAGGGGACAAGGGAATGGAGGGGAGGCGAAAGAGGTATAAGAAAGGGCAGCGTGCGGTGGGTGAAGAGATTAACGACTGTGAATCCCAGCCAAGGGAGGAGAGGAATCGTGGGAGAACGAAGTTGAACAGATGGAGAGCGAATGGGCAGCGAGTGGTATGTGAGGAGATTAATGACTGTGACTCCCAGCTGCACGCAGGGGACAAGGGATAAGAGGAGTGGCGGGGAAATGAAGTTGGAGAGGGAATCACCACTCACTCCCACACGCATTAGCTCATGCTCAGACAACGCAGTACCACGTGCTTTTCATAGGAGGTGGTGACATCAGCAAATGCCTTTACAACGCACTTAAATGAGATGAGAGGTAAGATGTGATCAAATGTTATGAGCTAGGACATACTCATACCAGCATGTGAACCCACTTGAAAGTACATATCTTGGGATGTGCTTGTACACGCATGTGCTTACAACAAGGTCAGGTAGGTAGGAGTAGGGCATCTAACAGCAGCATGTGATATTAGCTATACGCGCTTATCTCCTGCTATGCTTATGTTCTTTTAAAGGCATGTGCATACATCGAGGCCAGGCAGGCAGGTGTAGGACATCTCACAGCATATGTGACCATATCAGAATGTGCTTATTTCGGGATGTGCTTGTACAGACGTGCATGCATCAACAGCAGCCATTTTCTCACATCAAGGTCAGTGGGGTAGAAGTAGGTGTAGGACATCTCACAGAAGCACGTAACCATAGCCGAACGTGCCTACTTCGAGATGTGCTTAGAAATGCGTGTGCTTACATCAAGATGTGCTTAAACATGCGTGTGCTTACATCGAGGTCAGGCAGGTAGGAGTAGGACATCTCGCCCTTGGCACTGCTGGCGACAGAGACAATGCCGGGAGAGTAGATCTGCAGGGATGTGAGGGGGTCATGGGGTGAGGGGGTCACGGGGTGCATTGGGTGGGTGGGTGCAAACTTGCACAGCACTGCCGGCAAGCAACAGAACTTACGATGGGAGAGGGGAGCGGGAAGGAAAGGGTCACACTATGGGGGCGGGGAGGGAGCGAGACAGGGGCGGGGTGAAGGGCCATGCTGTTACCTACCCTTGGCACTCATGCATCGGGGAGCAGTATCGCAATGATCATAAAACGAGGTGCCTTTTGAGTTGACTTGAAAGTCAACGCAATGATGTTACCCTTGGCACTGATGCCTGGGGGAGGAGTACCGCGGTGATCATGAAAACAGGGGAAAAGACTCGAGAGAGGGAGAGTGAGAAACAAGTAGATCAGGAAACACTCAGTCAGCAGCAGCAAGCAAACCATTCTTACCTTTGGAGTAGAGGGTTCGTGCCTGGCAGGTGCCGATCACGAGAACAATCAAAAGAGGGAGAAACATAAAGGTGGATAATGGAAAACGAAGCATTCACACCTCGCAAAAGGGCGTTTGTGCCTGGCAGGTGCCGATCGCGAGAAGATTCGAGAGAGGGGGAGAGAACTCAATTAGAAAAGTGACACGCTGTTAGCTGCAGAGCAACATCAGAGCAGGGCATACCTCGGAGTGGAGAGTTTGTGCCTGGCATGTGTTGATGATGAGGAGACTCAAGAGAGGGAGAGAGAGAGAGCGAGAGAGAGAGAGAGAGAGGACTACCTGGTGTACGCGGCACTACGGATGGCCAACGAAGCTGACTACATGACTGCGCATGAAACCACGGCCTTCTCGCAAATTGTTAACCCCAAGCGAGCGGACCTGGTCATCAAAGACAAGGAGTCAGCGGAAACCTTTGTCACGGATGTAACGGTGACGGATCCGGTGCTGCAGCGGCGGGACACACGGGGGGAAGCCACCAGGGTGGGCGGCAGAGGATGCGGCGAGGGGGAAAAGGGGCCTGTACGAGGGGCGGCCAGAGTTTGTGGGGGTGCTAGGACTAGCGGTGGAAACCTATGGGGCTCTGGCCCGGGACACCCAACGGTTCCTACGGATGCTCGGCACATCGGCAGCCAAGCACAAGTACAGGCAGGGGAGGCTCACTACCGTGGCCTCCAAACTCACTGCACACTACCGGCAGCGATTCTCGGTAATGCTGCAGCGGAGCCAGGCCAACACCCTGCTAGCTAAGTCTAACAGGGCGACAGAGAGAGCCTTCCCGCAGGCGCCGGCAGACCCATGGGAGCCACGCCTTGGGGATCTCTGGCAGGTCCTGGAGGACGACCTGGACTGGGGGCCGGCCCTGGACGGGTGAGGGGCCGGGGAAGGAGGCCAGAGGGACCCCGGGGGAGTAGCCTCGTGTGGTCGGGCGAGCTAGGCAGCCTTGATAGCCCACATGGATTGGCGGCCTGACATGGATGTTGGTTATATGCATGGCTGCCCCTGTGCTAGGTTGCTTACAAGGCAGGATTATCTATATTTGCCTTGCTGTACCTTGGTTATAATCAATGAAGGACTGCTTGAGAGGACTTAGCCTCTGCCTCTAGCCTCTGCCTCTGCCCTCTAGCTATATATAGGGCCCTTGGGGTCATTTCTCAGTCATTAGTTCGGTTGGTGCCAGTTTTCTTGGGCGCGGAGAGAGCGAGAGAGAGAGAGAGGACTTAGCCTCTGCCTCTAGCCTCTGCCTCTGCCCTCTAGCTATATATAGGGCCCTTGGGGTCATTTCTCAGTCATTAGTTCGGTTGGTGCCAGTTTTCTTGGGCGCTCGCGCCGGCGGCCTTCGCCCGCCAGCGCTCGCGTTGCGCGGCCTTCGGCCGCGTGCCTAGGGGTGGCAAGGATTAACAGCAACACAAGCAATAACGCATGCATCACAAGACAGCCATGGGCCGTGCCACTCCCTACTAGATCAAGACATGCAAAGGGTCTACGCGCGGCGGGTGCCAGAAACTACATCTGATGGGCATCCAGCGCCGCAAGGATACCACGCATGGTCCTCCACAGTTGCTGGACCACTAACGCGGTCGCGCCTAAGGCTTCAATCCCGCCACCAGCCTGGAGGTGTGCGGTCAGACCCTGGACCGTTACGTCCAGTTCAGAAACCGCAACGCCTCCCATTGCGGGCGCTGCCAGCACGGGTAGGAGGAGGAAGGCAAGCTGCGCAGCTGCTGCCTGGCAATCAGCTCGCGCCCCACGACCGAGAGTGCTCCCTGGGCTCTGGAGAATGGCGAAATGCGCATTCACCAGAATCAGTGACAGGGCCCGCTGACACTCCGTCAGGCGCCACAGCTGAGCAAGGGTCGCCGTGGGAACTTCAGCCATGCCGGTCGCCAGTGCTGCGGGTGGAACCGGAAGCGTGGGCGGAGGTTGCACGGACGGAGCATCAGCAACGCGTCGCGGTGGGACGAACGCCCCTCTCGCCCCTCCACCTCCCGCCCCCACAAATCCCGTGCCCGCGAGTGGGGGAATCCAGGGGAGAGGGGGATATGGCGCAGCAGACACTGGACGCACGGGGACAGGAGGGGCACGGGGATCACCAGGAGTCTGAACCTGCGGTAGCGCCGAGCCGAGCGGAGCAGGAGCAGCAAGGGGCGCAGCCGGAGCCTGCGCAATCACCTGCGCCAGTGCGGGAGCTGGAGCGGCGGGAGCCTGGGAGCTTCCAAGATTCTGTGCGCCATTCAGGGCATTGCGCATCGCCGCAGCTAGCATCCCCGGGAAATCCTCGCGAAACTGCTGCATCTCGCTCGGCCCACCGCTCCCGCGACCGTGACCTCCCCACCAGCCACCGCGGCCCCCGCGGTGCGCCGATCGATACGACGACGAGGGGCGGCGACGAGGAGAACCGCGCCCCCGATGCGCAGCCGCATTGCCCCCCGCGGCGCCGCGTATCTGAGATTCAGCGAGACGCTGCGCGACGGGATGTACCGGCGCAGCTGCAGGGGCCACCTGGAGGGCAGGGTCGGGGCCGGCGCCCGCCGCTGTCCCCAGCGCGGGGCCCCCGGCGCCAGCTTGGCCAGTCGGCGGCGCCACAAGCGACGGCTGCGCAACGGGAACCGGCGCGCCGGTCGCGGGAGCGACGTGCGGAAGGTTTGGCGGGGGAGCCGGCACCGGCGGCATCAGAGCCGGGGAGGTTGCAGCAGCATCAGGAGGAGCCGGAGGGGCTAAGGGAGCAGCAGCAGCAGCCGGAGCAGCAACAGGAGCAGGAGATGGGGCATTCGCGCTCTCAGCGGTGTGACCCTGATCCACCGCTGACTTCTCCAATTCAGTCGCCATCACGACTAACGCGCCGTCAGCAGGCGATCGTAGACGCGCGGGCGCGTCAAGATGGGGGAATAGGTGGCAGCGGATTTCCGCAGCGGGCCGCGGCCAGCGCGCGGGGTCGAGGGAGTAGAGGCGTAGGTCGCGGACGTGGCAGAGGCACTCAGGAAGGAGGCCCGGAGAATGCGTTCCAGGCAGCGGCAAGAAGGGCTTTAAGGGACTTAGTTAGAACTACTGAAGAAGGCGAACTATCGGGAAGCATTTATGAGGCGGAGGATGTAGACGCAAACTCACCGTCAAGTTCAAGTGCCTCAGAGGAGGCCCAGTCACAAACACCAGCACGGGGGAGAATCGGCTCAACCCAAGCTCGAAGCGCGTCAACAAATTTCAGAACCCCACCCACCCAACCGCGACTCTCACCACAGACTCGTACCGCTTCCCGCCTCCCTGCCACCACTGTCAACCACCCCGCCCAACCGAATCTGACATCACCACCTCCAAACGTACCGCGACCTACAGCGAGGGGTAACCAGCAGCAGACACAGCCCCCTCCCCAAAAGTCGCCCGAGGCCCTCGCCAGGGACGACGCTCTCTTCGCGAATGTCAGTACCTGGGATGTGGATAAGCTGCGCGACAGTCGCAACTCACCTCTGGCACGTCGCCTGCCGGAGAAATTGCGCCTGCTTTTCGCCATGGTGTTACTGACACCACTCCTACGACTCGCACGCGACCCTGACTCCCTCTCTGCCTGGACGGTTTTACTGTTTGCCGCCCGTTTGACTCTGCGTCAGCATTCGCCAAGACATCCGGATTGGAAGGCGACCGAAAAACGCCTGCGGAATTTCCTGCGGGGGGATTGGGAGGCGCTGTACCTGGAAACGATAGATTCACTAGAACAACCACCACCTCCCCGCCACGTGCCAGATGAGTTAGGCATCATCTCCAGAGCCGAGGGACTGGCACGACGTGGCAGTTTGAGGAGGGCGGTCATGGCGCTGGAAGCCACCCCTGTCAGCACACCCTCACCTGCTGTGCTGGACGCCCTCCGCGCCAAGCATCCCAGTGCTTCCCGCCCTGTCTCACCGTGGCCCCAGCCCGAGCCAGACTCTCACCTGTCAGTAACGCGAGAAGCTTTTCTGAAGCTTCTCTCAAGATGTGAGAACGGGGTTGGCGCGGGGCCCTCAGGCACAACTTTCGAGCACATCCGCGAAGCTGCCCTGCTGCACAGCACAGTCGGTTCTCACCTGCACGCATTAGTTAACACAATCCTGAGCGGGAAACTGCACTAGGAGGTGGGGAAGCTTCTTACAGCATCACGTTTAATAGCATTAGACAAACCTGACGGGGGGACCAGGCCGATCGCTATAGGCGAATGCATCCTCCGCCTGGCAGCCAAGGCAGCACTAACGCAGTTGGCAGACGCAGCAAGGGAATTCTTCTTACCTCTGCAGTTTGGTGTGGCTGTGCCTGGCGGGGCTGAGGCGGTCATCCATATCGTTAGGACCTATGTAGCGGCTAACCCGGATGCGCTAGTCCTGCAGGCGGACCTGGCTAATGCCTTCAACAGCGTCGACCGCCTGGCAATAGCAAAAGCCCTGAAGGGCTCACGATTAGAGCCGCTGCTGCCACTGGTTCGCTTCTCATACGGCCAGCCCTCTCTCCTTCACCTGGACGCGGCCTTTGCTCACCCGCCCCTGCACAGTGAAACCGGTGTCCGCCAGGGGGATCCCCTCGGTCCCCTTCTCTTCGCCGCTGCCATGCACCCTGCTCTTAAAGCCGCAGCGGAGGCTCACCCATCCGTCGTCTGCCTAGCCTACGCAGACGACGTGACCTTCCTCGGGGAGCCATCGGCGTGCGTGGCTGCCTTCGAACACTTCACGGGCCACCTGGCGGAAATTGGGCTCCGCCATAACCCAGCCAAATGCGGGGCTTGGTCCAGCAAGATGTCCCCGGACTGCCGCTTGCCTGAAGGAGTTCCTCCCAGCAGCGACGGCCTGAAAGTATTGGGCAGCTACATCGGCACGGCACCAGCAACTTCAGATTTCGTACGTACCAGTCTTGCGGGGATGAGCGCGCCGCTGGACCTTATCGAGCGGATGGACCCGCAGCTGGCGGGTCTGCTGCTGTCCCGGTGTATCTCTCGCCGGGTCTCTTACCTCGCACGCACGACACCCCTGCCGTTTCTGCCCAAGGAGGAGTGGTCAAGCTGGGGGAGGCGGCTGCTGGAAACCCTTCTCACGGCGTGCGGGATTAGCCATCCGCGGGGAGACGAGGAGATGGCACGCGTCTGGGCGCAAGCGTCTCTCCCCGTGTCGCTCGGGGGGGTTGGCCTAGCAGACCCCTCGGTGGAAGGGCGCTACAGCTTCCTCGCCAGCTATACGCAGGCGCAGCAGCTGCTGGATTCCCTGGACACTGAATGCATCGGCCCATTGGAGGGCACCCGTGGGCTGATGCGGGGCCCCTACACCCAGGCCTCCCCCCTGACCGAGTGGCTGGCGGAATGTGAGGAGGGGCTGCCTCTGCCGGCAATGGAGGTCCTGCAGACGGAACGAGCGGCCCCAACAACGGGGAAGCTGCAGCATGGATTGGCCACCGCTATCCAAGGACAGCGGTATGCGGTGCAGGTGGAGGAGGTGCGGAGGATGCGGCCGAACCCCAACAACGGCCACACCCAACGGATGTTGTCTCTGTCAGGTTATGGGGCGGGTGATTGGTTAAATGCCGTGCCGATTCACCATTCGCTTCGGCTAGACGCCCCTCATTATGCCAACGCCCTCCAGTTCCGGCTAGGGCTCCCCTTTGCTGCCCCGGGAGTGTGCAACTGCACGAAGAAGGTCGAGATCTTGGATAAGCGGCTGCCCAATCACCTGCTGCGGTGCGGAACAGGGGGGGACGTACCAACACGCACAATGAGCTCAGAGACGAGTGCGCGCGAATGGCAAGGGACGCCGGCTTCATGGTGCACATGGAGTCGGCCGCATTCAGCCCTGTGGAAGGGAAGAAGGCTGACCTAGCCCTCCGCGACCGCACTACCAGCTACATCTGCGACGTGACTGTAACGGATCCGATTAGCACCCGGGACGAGAATGCAACCAGGGGACGGGGATGGGCAGCACGGGAAGCCGCGGATAAAAAGATTGGCCTTTACAAGGACCGCCCGGAAGGGGTCAAGTTCTTCCCCCTCGCGGTCGAGACGTACGGGTGCCCTTGCCCCGAGATAGTGGACTTCCTGAAGTTACTTGCAGAATCGGCTGCACGGCGTAGATCCTAAGGAGGATGGAGTGGTAGGTAGGCTAGGATGGGGCAGGGGAGAGGGAGGTGCCCACAGGGGAGAGGGAGGTGTCCACAGGGGAGAGGGAGGTGCCCACAGGGGAGAGGGAGGTGTCCACAGGGGAGAGGGAGGTGCCCACAGGAAAGAGGTGCATTATGAGAATGCACGCTTCTTGATTTTCAGGCGCATCAAAGTTAGAACCACGAGGAGGATGGAACGGTACCTAGTGGGATGTGACAAGGGAAAGGGAGGAGTTGCTATGTGAGAGTTGCATTACGAGAGGCCGAGGAGACCGAATGGCAGTGAGTAAGGAAGGTGTCACACGGGGGAGGAAGGGGCGAATCAGTTGCTCTAGAGCAGGGTGCCTGGGTGGGACAAGGGAGGGAACAAGAGGTGTCAAATCGGAGAAGTTAGGGGGCAACCCAATCGCATTATGCATTTATGAGATGGATCATGTTGTGGCTGCTGTGACAAAAAGAAGGGGAGGGGGAAGGAAGAGGGATCAGGGAAGGGTTGACCGGAAGAGGATAACGCCAGGGTGCAGGTCAGGTGAGACTGGCAGGGCTAAGTACACAACAGTGCTGGAGACGAAAAGGTGTCTGAACCCAGAATTGAACCGGAGACCTCCAGCGTGTGAGACTGGCGTGATAACCGACTACACCATCCAGACATCAAGGAAGGAGGATAGGTAAAGAAACGTCAAAAATGAGAGGGAGGGAACAGGGAGGAGTGGGGGATCGAGCGGAGGGGTGGCAGGAATGGGAGTGGTGGGAGGAATAGGAGTGGTGGGAGGAATAGGAGTGGTGGGAGGAATAGGAGTGGTGGGAGGAATAGGAGTGGTGGGAGGAATAGGAGTGGTGGGAGGAATAGGAGTGGTGGGAGGAATAGGAGTGGTGGGAGGAATGGGAGGGGTGGGAGGAATGGGAGTGGTGGGAGGAATGGGAGGGAGGGGAGGGGCGAGAATGACGGGAGGGGAGGAAGGGACGGGAGGGGTGGGAGGGACGGGAGGGTTGGGAGGGACGGGAGGGGTGGGACGGACGCGAGGGTTGGGAGGGACGGGAGGGGTGGGAGGGACAGGAGAGGTGGAAGGGGAGAGAGGGGTGGGAAGAATGGGAGGAGAGGGAGGGGTGGGAGGGGTGGGAAGGGTGGGAAGAGTGGGAGGGACGGGGGGGCTGGGAGGGACGGGAGGAGTGGGAGGGTCGGGAGGGGTGGGAGGGACGGGAGGAGTGGGAGGGACGGGAGGGGTGGGAGGGACGGGAGGGGTGGGAGGGACGGGAGGGGTGGGAGGGGTGGAAAAGGAGGACGTGAGAGGAGGAGAATGAAGCGGCAAGTAAAGGCCTCATGGCTTGGTCGCTCCAGACTTCCAGTTCGAGAAAGGCGAGAGGGGAAATGGGAAAGCACGAGATATGGGGGGCAGAAGGGAGAAGCAGAAGCAGAGCATCAGCAGCATTGCTCTCTAGGTCGGTCGGTGGGAAAGAGATGAGGTTCTTCAATGCTTCCAGTGGTGTGTGGTGAGCGTGTGTTGGCACTGAGATGATATTTGAGTCGACTCAAAAGTCGCCAACAGCGTTGCTCTCTTGGTGGGTGGGTACGGCAACATCAGGTTCTCTCTGATGCTTCCGGTATTGAGTCACGCAATGAGTGCTCTGACCATATTGAGATCACTTTTGAGAATTCTCAAAAGTGATTCCAGTATTGAGTCAAGCAATGAGTGCTTTGACCATGGGTGCTTTGACCATGGGTGCTTTGACCATGAGTGCTTTGACCATGAGTGCTCTGACCATGAGTGCTTTGACCATGGGTGCTCTGACCATGAGTGCTTTGACCATGGCGGCATTTTGCGAAGCGGCATTGGGAGGCTCCATACTGCGAGGCTCCATACTGCGAGGTGCCATACTGCGAGGCGCCCGCCATACTGCGAGGCGCCAGCGCCAGTAGTACGGACCAGCATGATGCTGCCGACTCAACCGCCTCGCATGCGCGGTAACGATTTTATCACTCGCGAGTGCTGCTGACGGAACCAGGACTACTCCTGCTGCCAACAGCGGGACCGAATTCTGGAAGCCTCAGAAATTCCTCTTTCTTAAAAAAAATAGTAAAAGTAGAATAGACTTATCGAGGCTATGGTGTTTCCCCTTGACCCCAACCGCCCTTGCGCTTCCCCTTCCCCGCTGCCGTCACAAGCTACGATTGACGCTTGTGAGGCTTTTGAGAATTCTCTTACAATTTCTCAAAAGTTTCTCCTTCCCCGCTGCCGTCATGCGCTACGATTTGCGCTTGTGAGGCGATGTGTCGGTTTCGAACCTGTGCTCTCACGCTCGATACGAAGGCGCGCTACCTTGCCTCTCGTTAGGTTTCCTCGCGACGCGGCAACGGTACTACGAAATGGGCGACCATGCGCGTTTTGCATGCGGGAAACAGAGATGTAGACTATTCCGGAGCACTCTCCGCAATTCACTTCTAGTTTCTCCCGAATCCGCTGCTTCCGCGCAGCTTCGTACTCCGACTGCGCGGGCGGAAGCTCCGGCGCCATTGGCGGAGGACGGAGGAAGGAGAGACGGCGAAGCAAGAGGGCGGCAGAACGCGAGGGGCGGAGAGAAAAAGATGCGAATGAGCTTTCGTCTGAGCACCCTAAAAGCGTGTGCCATGGAGGGTGGGAGCGGGAGATGGAGGGAGAAATGACACTGGTTTGTGACATGACGTGACGAGTTGGGTGTGAGGTTGCGGGCCGTCATACATGAGTGTATCAGGTAACTTGCGCAGTCTATCGTGTTTCGTGAATACTTGTGTCTCCGTCTCGCGAGTTTTCGCTGATTGCCGAATTTCGTCGCGTAGAATGAATACAGCCAAGTTGTATCGGGTCGGGAGCTAGTCGATGTTTCCCCTCCAAAGCCCAAAGCAACTATTCACTCACTACAACTGCTACACAAATTGAATGGTTATGTAGCCTATATTCATCAAAACACTACTCAGACCAGCAAACGATGAATACTTCAGCCATATAGACTGCCTAGAGCATCCGGTATAGACAGAAGGAATGAGTTTTATCCATGCTCCAATCGCTGTAAAACAACAATGCAACATTCAGATGCACCGCCACATGCATTGGCATGTTACGGTATGCATCCATCTCTATCCACGTTGTAATGATCACACCACTGCAGAAACCCTAGCAATGCATTTTCACGCATCCAAAAAATGCTTCTCATTTCCTCGTCTTCACAGCCTTGCCAGAGAGCGAGCTTGTTCCCTTCTTGTCCCACAATCACATGTGGCTCTTTTACCAATTGACTTATTGCCGCGAGGGCAACTTTTTTCGAAGCCAACACCTCCTCAATATGAATCCGAAAGCTGTAACGCTTGCGTCAAGCATTGGGTCTTGTGACGTTTAGGAATTTTATTGTAGCCTCGAGTTTCGCTGTGGAGCAAGAACTTCCGTACCAATTTGGGGTTGATCTCCTCCCTTGAGGTTCGAAACAACTACCTTAGCGACAAAGCTGTACATCGGTCCAGAGTATCTGTCAAGCAGGCAAAGGGAGATTCTTTCAGAGTGTGTACTGGAAGTGCACTGCAAAGGGAAATTCTGTGTCTCTTGCAACCCTTTTGCCCTCAGAAGGATTGCAAGAGCACACAGTGGTTGTTGGTGCAGACATATAAACAGATTATGTTGAAAATGTCAGAATCCCGGTCACTAACCACTGGGATAAAAGGGCTTGTTTATATAGCGGGTGAGTGCGCCCATAACCCCCCAGGCCGACGTGCCTGTAACCCTTCACTAGGATCATCGGGGATCTCCAGTGGACCTCTGACACCCCCCCGCACTGGGATGCCCGAAGTGCACACACCGGGAATCGAACCCGAGACCTTCGCTCTGATACCATGTCAGAATCCCAGTCACTAACCATTGGGATAAAAGGGCTTGTTTATATAGCGGGTGAGTGCGCCTATAACCCCCCAGGCCGACGTGCCTGTAACCCTTCACTAGGATCATCGGGGATCTCCAGTGGACCTCTGACAGAAAAGACTTCGCGAAACTCTCAAAATACATTATGAGGCCACAGGACGCGTGTCAGCGAAGCCAGTGGGACAAGGGAACGAGGGCAGAGTGAACAAGGGAAGAAGTGAACGAGGGGAGAAGAGAACGAGGGGAGAAGGGAACGAGGGGAGGGAGAAGCGAACGAGGGGAGAAGGGAACGAGGGGAGAAGGGAACGAGGGGAGAAGCGAACGAGGAGAGAAGGGAAGGACGGAAGAAGCGAACAAAGGGGAGAAGTGAATGAGGGGGAAGCGGCATACCTCACTGCTTTGGCAATCAATTTCCCCGAAGCTCCTGCGTCACCAACGAGTTTTCCGTTGATCTTGGTAGGACGCAGAATGGCCACGTACTTAACTACACACAGGAACGGGAGGAATCAAAGTAGCTAGTTGCTGCTGATTCTGAGCTGACGAATCACAAACGGGAACGCAAGGATCGGGAAGTAAACACTGGTGCAGCAAACATGATCCGTCAACAAGCTGCACAGATTTATGACGTAGAAATCATGAACAGACTTTTCAGATACCACTACCTGGAAAGCCAGTGCTGGGCCGCCTTTTAAGAAGCGTCCACTACTGGAAAACCACTAAAGTTTAATTCGGTTTCTGAACACTTACCGAGTGTCTTTCCGTTATAAACCAGGGACCTGGCCTGAGCGGCAGAAGCGGCAGAAGAGGCGCCTTGGTTCGAGAGGAACGGTGCAAGCAATGGTGTGGCCGACGCGCCGTAGACAGTGCAGACCGTCGCACCTGCAGACAGGCAGGCAGACAGACAGGCAGGCAGGCAGGCAGACGTCCAACGACCTGACGGATCCGTCTCTACTCTGACCGAGATTGTGAACAGCAGCTCCAACGAGAGTCTCGATGCGAAAGTGAAACCCAGCAGCAGCGGGCTTACAGAGCAGCAGGCGGTAGAGGAGAGAAAACGCGCGGCGCTCCATGCCGCCGAACCACTATCAACTAAGTTTGCGGACTCAATGAAGATATATCCTCAAGCAGCTTGGTATGCATCAGCGGCGGATAGGAAACTTTGAAGTTTCGCTGTCGCGGTAGCATTTTGAGGTGTCTATTTTTGAGGGGTCGAGAGCTGCGTACAACCGGCCTACATGCGCGAACTCGTTCGTTGCGCATCGAAGTGACACGTAGGCGAATAGAGGCCGCTTTTAACCACTCAGCGAGTGACACCTAGTAACTTCGGTTCTCAAAGAAGATAAGACGTAGGCAATATAAATTGCGTACCACCGACTCACTTGAGGGTAGCTTGCCATCCGAACGACACCTAACACGACGAGATGCCACCGCTGGCGCAAACTGCAATACGACGTCTAAGTCGTTGAAATGGTTTAACCACTTGGCGAGTGACACCAACTTCGGTTCGCACTGAAGATAAGCGATAAGCCGTTATCATTACGTAGGAAAGGCATATTGCGCAGCACCGAACTTGAGGGTAGCTGCCATCCGTACTGCACCTAACAAGATGAGATGCCGCCGCTAAGTCGTTGAAAATGTAAGCTGCATCTGACAAGTACAAACCGCATTTGCCGCAACTAATTTCGTCAACGGCACCCCCTGCAGCATCCCTTTTGGGAAATGATCAGACTGGGGCCCCGAAGCTCTAGGAAAAGTGCCGACTTGGGGCCTCGTGTGTCGCATTGTGTCGAACCTGGTCCGGACCTGTCTCTAACCAATTTCGGGCCTCACTCACGCGCTCCGTCAGACCTGACCACACAATGTGACGGATTTCTGAACGGACAAGCTGGCAAAAGTTAAACCCCATATGGGCATGCATCCCGACAGGGAGGCATCAACCCTAAACACCTTGTCGCATGTGTTTAGGGTTGATGCCTCCCCTGTTAAACTGTTATATGTTGGTAGGCTGTAGTGGGGTAGCCAGTATGGGGTACAACCCCAACTAGGGTTAGCTACTTGTACCCAACTGTTTCATTCAATGCACCATTCTCACGCTAGTATTCTGATATGGTATTCAGAGCAGGTGGTCCCTAGGACCATCCGATCGTTTTTTTTTAGGGCCCACCACCGCACGCTGCGGTTACCGCGTTACCCCCGCGCCCTACCCTCGTAGCGCCCTCGTTGCGCTCTAGCGCCCTCGTAGCGCCCTTTGTAGCGCCCTCGTGCGCCCTGCCGACCGGCGTCCTGCCAGCCCAGAGCCCCGCGCGCCTCCCCTGCTTTGCCCGTCGCGCCGCCCGCTCTGCCCCGCGCTGCCCGTCGCGCTGCCTCGCAGCCCCGCGCACCGCCCGCTGTGCCCCGAGCCGCCCGTCGATCTGCTGCGCAGCCCCGCGACCCGCCCGCCCTGCCCCGCGCTGCTCGTCGCTCGGCTCTGCAGCCCCGCGCGCCGCCCGCTCTGCCCCGCGCAGCCCGTCGAGCTGCCTTGCAGCCCCGCGCGCCGCCCGCTTTGCCCCACGCCGTCCGTCGCGCTGCCCGCCCGCCCGCCGTGCTGCCCGCTTGCGGAGTCGCCCGCCTGTCGCGCTGCCCGCCTGCAGCGCCGCCTGCCTGCCGCGCTGCCCACTTGCAGAGCCGCCCGTCCGCCGCGCTGCCCGCTTGCAGCGCCGCCTGCTGCTCCCTGCCCGTGCGCAATTGCCCGCCCCTGCTGTGGTAGCTTGCGTTGCTCTGCCGTACTGTCGTTATGGCTTCCATCCGCGTGCTTTCGTTCGATGCTGAGGGCCGCCCTGTGCAGTTCACCACTTGGCTAGATGACCTGCAGCTGTTCCTCCTGAGCGATAGCAAGGAGCATGTGTCGCTCTATGATTACGCGTCTGGTGCTGCACCTGCCCCTCCTGCCACAGCAGAGCTTAGTGTTCGTTCCCACTGGCAGACTCGTGACGCAGCTGCTCGCCTAGCCATTCGCAGTCACCTGCCGTTAGCTGAGCTCGAGCATTTTGGCGACTGCAAAACCGCTAAGGCCCTGTACGACGCTGTCGTTGCCCGCTATTCCTCACCTGCCACAGCCGTGTCGTGATAGTAGGTATACTGAGGAGCCATAGCTAGGGTTGACCTAGCTAGGCAAGAGAGAATGAAGCAAAGAGGGTTTGCACTAGCAACAATGGTGGTACAAATAGCTAACCCTAGAAGGGTTGTACTCGCTATAGAGCACCCCACTGCAGGCTAGAGCATAATATTCTGACACACCCCCATAGTCAAAGTGGGGTGTAATCAGCAGAGCAAGCAAAGCAGTACAAGCTCAGGGTGGATCACGATGTCACCACACATTCTGAGCACAAGCAAGAAGCAATAGTTTAAGGTTCAAATTATGAGCAAAGCTAGAGGCAGTCACAGGGGGCAAGTGAGGAGGAGGAGGGCTGGCGAGAGGAGAGTAGATAGGAGGCGACGACTGAAGATGCAGACACACGGGCAACAGACGGCTCTGGTGCGACAACGTGGCTACCGGGAATGAGTGCCCCGGAGTACAGGAGTAACAGGCTCCGCGGCTAATATGCTCGGCAGGAGCAACGGACCCACAGGCGACGGCGCAACCGGCTCTCTGAGCTACCGGGAATGAGTGCCCCGGAGTACAGGCGCTGCGTACGACACGACGGCAACCTCCGCTCAACCTCCCCCAACAGTCCCACACCCCTCGACACACACCCTCTGCTTCAAACCCTAGCTAGCTCCACTCCCACGGTACCCCCCTTAAACCCCAAACCCTAGGCTCCCACACACCACCCCCCTCAGCGGCAGCTGTAGCAGAGGGAGACTAGGGAGGAGGAGGAGCAGGGGGAGGAACTCACAACCGACACCCCCATAGTCGCCACCCCCACACTCCTCACCCCCAAACCCTAAAACGGGCGGAACGGGGGAAGGAGCGCGGGGGACGGCGAGGGGGACGGTGCGCGGCCCCCAGGACGCCACCACGGGGCAGCGAGGGGCCGCGCGCGGCTCCTTAGGGCGCCGCGAAGGGGCAGCGGGGGGTCGCGCGCGGCTCCCCAGGGCGGCACGACGGCGAATCGGGGTAGCGGGGGGCCGAGCGCGGCTCCCCAGGGCGGCGCGACGGGAAATCGGGGCCGCGGGGGCCGCGCGCGGCTCCCCAGGACGTCGCAACGGAAAGGGCGGGGGCGCGCGGGGTCCCCCACGGTAGGAAACCGCCGCGCGCCTCGGGGCGCACGGCGGGGAGAAAACCGCCGCACGCCCCGAGCGCGCGGCGGGATGAAAAATCCGTCGCACGCCACGGGGCGTGCGACACAGACAGTAGTAGGAGCAGCGGAAGACTGAGGTGGTGGGGCCCACCCACAGGATCGACCCAACAGGATCGTCCTGCTCTGATAGCATGTCGTGATAGTAGGTATACTGAGGAGCCATAGCTAGGGTTGACCTAGCTAGGCAAGAGAGAATGAAGCAAAGAGGGTTTGCACTAGCAACAATGGTGGTACAAATAGCTAACCCTAGAAGGGTTGTACTCGCTATAGAGCACCCCACTGCAGGCTAGAGCATAATATTCTGACAAGCCGAGCTTAGCCGCAGTATGCTGCCTTACCTGTTCCCTGAGCTGTCCACCTTTGCTACAGTCGCCGATCTTATCACCCACCTTCGCACTAGTGACGCTCGCCTGCGTGCCGCCCTTCCCACCGAGTTCTGCGCTAAGAACCCCCCTCCACTGTACTGGACACTCCACTTTCTAGTCACCCGTCTCCCTGACACCCTTAGCTCAGTGCGCGACTATTTCCTTGCTCGCTGTCCCACTGAGCTCACTGTCGCCCTCCTAGAGGAGAAACTGCTAGCAGCCGAGAAGAGCATTGTAGCTGTAGGTGCTGCTCGTGGCGCTCCTCGCACCCCCATCTTTGAGGGGTGTTCTCCCTCTCCCCTCGCTCCCTCCTACGCTACTGCTGCTGCTGTTGACTTCCTTGGTGCTGAGTCTGCTGGCGCTGCTTCTGCTCCTGGTGGGAGGCGCCGCACCGGCAAGGGCAAGGGGGGCAAGGGTGGCGGGGGTGGCGCTGGGGGGGGAGGAGGTGGGGGAGGTGGGGGGGGAGGCGGTGCTGGAGGGAGCGGTGGCGGGAGTGCTGGTGGGAGTGGGGTCGGCAGCGGAGGCGGGGGCGGCGGAGGGAGCGGTGGCGGTGGTGGCGGCGGCGGCGGCGGTGGCGGTGGCGGCGGTGGCGGTCGGAGCGGAGGTAGTGGTGGCGGCGGAGGTCGGAGTGGAGGCACTGGCTCGGGCCAGAGCTCCCACCAGCAGCAGCGTCCCCAGACGACCCAGCAGCTTCGTGAGTGGCTTGCTCAGCGTGGGACGTCGGGGGGCAGTGGCCGTTATTCCTATGTCATTCGCACAGGTGACCGCAAGGGACAGACGTGTGGGAGGTTCCACACCCCGTACCGCTGCTTCTCCCGCCTTGACGACAATTGGCGTGAGGAGATGGGCGAGGATGTTGAGCGCCCCCGCTGGGCTGAGCTGATGAGGGCTGGTGTTGATATCTTTGCTCTTGACTATGATGCTATTATTGCTGCCATGTATGCATTGACTGTTAGTGCCGAGGGAGACTGTTACTTGTGTGTGCCGCCTGACCCAGGTATAGAGCCCGCTGCCCTGGGTACTAGTGAGTCTGCTCTCTCTGGTCTGGTGCCCTCTGTGGCTGCTCCCTCCAGTACTGTCCCTACTGCTTGTGAGTCTGCTCTCTCAGGTACAGCACCCACAGAGACTGCTCTCTCAGGTACTGCACCGGCTGAGGCCTTGCACACCTTCACCCTTGACTCAGGTGCTTCCCGCTGTTTCTTTCGTGACAGTACTGAGCTCACTCCACTTCCTGCACCGGTCCCAGTCTCCTTGGCTGACCCCTCGGGGGGCCCAGTCCTTGCACGGTCCACCACTGTGCTCCCGTGTCCGGCGGTTCCGTCTGGCTCGTTGTCGGGTTTCCACCTCCCCTCGTTCTCGACGAACCTGGTGAGCAACGCTGTCATCCAGGATCAGTGGGTTGACACCTTTACTCCTGGAGGACAGCGTGTGGCGATCCTCACGTGCTCCAGGACTGGCCGTCACCTGGCTACGTTTACCCGTCAGCCGGGGTCGAGTCTCTACACACTGTCCACTGCGTCTCCTCAGGTCGCTGCTGTCGGTCAGGTGTCCGCGTCAGGTCTGGTAGCCCACGCCTGTGAGTGTCGTTCCCTGTCGCACCAGACTCTTCTCTGGCACCACCGCCTGGGCCACCCCTCCTTGCCACGCCTCCGTGGCATGCACCGTCGCCTCCTTGTGTCTGGTCTTCCCAGGTCCCTCCCTCCCCTCCCTGCCTCGCCTGCGCCGCCTTGCCTTCCTTGCGTCGAGGGGCGGCAGTGCGCCGCTCCTCACTCCTCCTCGTTCCCCCCGACAGAGGCTCCTCTGCAGACCCTCCACCTGGACGTGTGGGGCCCAGCCCGCGTTCGTGGCCAGGGCGGTGAGCGGTACTTTTTGCTGGTTGTCGACGACTACTCGCGTTACACCACGGTCTTCCCCTTGCGCACCAAGGGTGAGGTCCCTGCTGTTCTGATCCCTTGGATCCGCACAGTTCGTCTCCAGCTCCGCCGCCGTTTCCGGACGGATCTTCCTGTCCTGCGTCTGCACTCTGACAGAGGTGGTGAGTTCTCCTCCGACCTCTTGAGGACCTTCTGTCAGGCGGAGGGCATCGAGCAGACCTTCACGCTTCTGGACTCCCCACAGCAGAATGGGGTTGCTGAGCGCCGCATTGGCCTGGTCATGGAGGTCGCTCGTACCTCCTTGGTCCATGCGGCGGCTCCCCATTTTCTGTGGCCGTTTGCTGTCCGGTACGCCGCGCATCAGCTCAACCTCTGGCCCCGTGTCTCCTTGCCGAAGACCTCGCCCACACTGCGTTGGACGGGGGAGGTTGGCGATGCGTCGCGCTTCCGGGTGTGGGGTGCTCGTGCCCTTGTCCGCGATACGTCCGCGGACAAGCTCTCCTCCCGCACGCTTCCCTGTGTCTTCCTTGGCTTTGTCCCTGACGCGCCTGGCTGGCAGTTTTACCACCCCACCTCGCGCCGGGTCTTCGCCTCTCAGGACGTCACCTTTGACGAGTCGGTCCCTTTTTACCGTCTCTTCCCCTACCGCACTGCCCCCCTCCCTCCCCCGCCGCTTTTCCTCGCTCCTGGTCCCCCTCCGGTAGACCCCCTTCCCCCTCAGGGTCCTGCTCCTTCAGGTGTCTCTCAGGTAGACCCTCCTCCCGTCGCTGAGCCTGTCGAGGTCACAGGTGACTCAGGTGCTGCTGCAGGTGGTGCTGCTGGGAGTGCTGAGCCTGGGGGTGCTGAGCCTGCGGGTGCTGGGCCTGGGGGTGCTGCGGCTGCGGGTGCTGGGACTGAGGGTGCTGGAGCTGAGGGTACTGTGCCTGAGAGTTCGGAGCCTGGGGGTGCTGAGCCTGGGGGTGCTGCGACTGGGGGTGCTGAGCCTGCGCCTACGGAGCCTGGGGTTGCTGCGTCTGGGGGTGCTCCGGTTCGGGGTGCTGAGCAGTCTCTCACACCGCAGCAGCTTCGTGACTGGTACGTCCGGCGCTTTCGCCGTCCTCGTGGCCCTGCTGGAGTTGGAGGTTCTGGAGCTGCTCGTCCTGGAGGTGCTCGTACTGGAGGTACTGGAGCTGCCGGGACTGGCTGTTCTGGGAGCACTGAGGCTGGAGCTGCTGGAGCTGGGGACTCTGGAGCTGGCGGTGCCAGCGGAGTTGGAGCTACCGGCTCTGGGGGTGCTCTTCCTGGCGGTACTGGAGCTGCTGGAGCTGACGACACTGGAGCTGACGGTTCTGGACACGGTGGTCCTGCTGGTTCTGGAGGTGCTGGCGAGGGGAGGTCTGACGCTGCTGGGGCCTCTGGTGCTGACGTCGCCGACTCTGGGGGTGCTGCGGCGGAGGGTGCTGGTCCTGGTGCTTCTGGTGCTGCGGGTGCTGGAGGTGCTGGCGGAGCTCCGCCGTCGCGCCTGTTCTTCGCTCCTCCGTCACCGTCGGCTTTGCCACCGCCTGACACGGTGCTTCGCCAGGTTCTTTCCCTCCCGTCTTCCACTGGCCTTCCCCTCCAGCCTGGCTCCCCCCTCCCTGCTCCTGTACCTTACACTGCACTGCCGGACTCGCTTACGGAGCGTCGTGAGCCTGTGTCTCGTCCTGCCTCGCCTGTTCGTGCTACTCGCACTGCTCGCACTGCGCGCACTGGTCCCACTGGTCGTCGTGTCGCGCGTCCGCGTCCTCCTCCTGTTCCTGGCACGCATATTATGGCCCTTCGTCCTTCCACTGGTCCACAGCGTGTCCCCCTACCGTCTCCTCCTGCGTCTTCTCTTCCTGAGGTTCCCGACCCTGAGTCTGACAGTGTTCGTGCTGCCCACCCTACTGTTACGCGTCTTCTCGCCACTGTTGTCACTGACCCGTCGTTTGAGTCTTCTGCTGCGTCTGCCCTGGTCGCTGAGCTTGTCGACTTTGCTGCTGCATGTCGCCTAGACTACGCCGCCAGTCTTGTTGCTGAGTCTAAGTCTGTCTGTCCTCCGTCCGTCGGGGGTGAGTGTGCTCTTGGCACAGACGTCCTTGAGGACAGGCAGGAGGACTTTGACTCTCTTGCGGCTGCTGTACCTCATCTCGTGGCCTGGTTGCTTGCCCCTGAGGGAGACCCGGATGCACTAGACATCCCCACTCCGCGCTCTTACGCAGAGGCGATCTCGGGTCCCTACTCTTCTCAGTGGCAGACAGCCATGGACGCAGAGATGGCATCCTGGAAGTCCACAGGCACCTACGTCGACGAGGTTCCCCCTCCTGGGGCGAACATCGTCGATGGCATGTGGATTTTCAAGGTGAAGCGGCCGCCGGGTTCTCCGCCTGTCTTCAAGGCTCGTTACGTTGCTAGAGGCTTCAGTCAGCGCCAGGGGGTTGACTTCTTCCAGACCTTCTCCCCCACCCCGAAGATGACCACTCTTCGGGTTCTGCTGCACGTTGCTGCTCAGCGTGACTACGAGCTTCACTCTCTTGACTTCAGCACAGCTTTCCTGCAGGGCAGCCTGCACGAGGAGATCTGGTTGCGCCGCCCACCTGGCTTTACTGGGTCGTTTCCTCCTGGTACCCAGTGGAGCCTCCGCCGGCCAGTCTATGGTCTCCGCCAGGCGCCACGTGAGTGGCACGACACACTGAGGACTACACTTGCGGCCCTTGGGTTCGCGCCGTCTACTGCTGACCCGTCGCTGTTTCTGCGCACAGACACGTCGCTGCCGCCGTTCTACATTCTCGTGTACGTCGACGACTTGGTCTTTGCTACTGCTGACACTGAGGCACTCGCTCGTGTGAAGTCGGAGCTGCAGAAGAGACACACCTGCACTGACCTGGGTGAGCTGCGTAGCTACCTTGGCTTGCAGATCACCCGGGACAGAGCACGCCGCACCATTACCCTGACTCAGTCACACATGGTGCAGCAGGTCCTTCAGCGCTTCGGCTTCCAGTTCTCCTCACCACAGGCCACACCTCTGGCTACCAGCCACTCGCTCTCAGCTCCACCTTCGGACGAGTCCGTAGAGCCGAGTGGCCCGTACCCAGAGCTTGTAGGCTGCCTCATGTACCTGATGACTTGCACGCGACCTGACCTCGCGTACCCTCTTAGCATCCTTGCTCGTTACGTTGCGCCTGGGAGACACAGGCGAGAGCACTGGGAGGCTGCTAAGAGGGTGCTGCGTTACCTGTGCAGTACATCAGGCATGGGGCTGGTGCTTGGAGGACGCGACAGAGTTGTCCTCACTGGTCACTCGGACGCTTCTTGGGTGGATGACCTGGCTACGCAGCGGTCGTCACAGGGTTACACCTTCAGCCTTGGCTCTGGTTCTGTCTCGTGGCGGTCCACCCGCTCTTCTTCTGTTCTCAGCTCTAGTTGTGAGGCTGAGATCTACGCCACGGCCATGGCTGCACAGGAGTTACGCTGGCTCACCTACCTGCTGACTGACTTGGGAGAGCGGCCTAGTTCTCCTCCAGTTCTGTACGGCGACAACAAGGCGGCCCTTGCCTTGTGTCAGGAGCACAGACTGGAGCACAGGACGAAGCACATTGCTCTTCGCTACTTTCTTGCTCGAGAGCTGCAGCAGCGAGGTCAGCTTCGGCTTGTGTACGTGGACTCGAAGGCCAACACTGCTGATATCTTCACTAAGGCGCTCCCGCCTAGTGATTATCAGCGGCACTGTACTTCTTTAGGCCTTGTGTCCACATTCCCTCATTTGCTTACTGCTTGACTTTCTTTGTACTGTACTTTATATATATCTTTTTGCTTGCTTGCTAGGTTTTGATCACTGTGTTGCTTGTCTTGTACTATATCTAGCACTGCATGTGAACTGGCCTTGTGGCCTTTGCTTGTGCTCGGAGTGTGGTGACGTTGTGATCCACCCTGGGCTTGCATTGCTTTGCTGGACTGGTCTTGTGACCCTTTGTTCTCCCCCACTTTGCCTATGGGGGTGTGTTAAACTGTTATATGTTGGTAGGCTGTAGTGGGGTAGCCAGTATGGGGTACAACCCCAACTAGGGTTAGCTACTTGTACCCAACTGTTTCATTCAATGCACCATTCTCACGCTAGTATTCTGATATCCCCAATTTTACGCCTTCGGATTGGGTTTTTTTTTTTTTTTACCGCTGCGATAATATTTTTTGGGCTAAAATGTTTATTTTTTTTGTTATTTTTCTGAAGTATCTGTACTGCCCATTTTGAGTGGGCCGACGGTCGCTGCCCCCGTCAACCAAGGTGCTAGCGAAATCCGTCAAACCCAAGCCAGCAGGTGGTGACCTGGCGAGCTCGGCCTAGCTGCCTAGGCTTGTGGGTTGCTTCGGGCCTTCTTCGTAGGTTCGCGAATCACGAGGCCCCATGTCGGCCATCTTTCTGCTAATCCGAGGCCCCAATATGATCATTCCCCATCCCTTTTCGGCAACAGCATCTGGAACATCCAGCTTGTACGCGCTGGCGGTGCTCTGTAGAAACTCGGTAAAGAAATAGTCCCTGCAATAAAAAGTTCCAATACAAGCCAATCTTTCGCTTACTGTATCCTGATGCCTTTAGGTTCATTATTGTCCTAAACGGTTAGTTTCCAACAGAGTTGCATATTCTGAGTCTGAATTTCTAACCTTTAAAGTGCCTCCTGGAATTTCAATTTTCAAATTCGGACGAAATATAGTGGGGGTTTGGAATACATGGGGCCAGGGCTCTCGTTATGAGGGTACATTCCGCTGTGGACACATGTCCCAATCGATGTGTCCCAATCGAGTGTACCGCTCTGCATCGTATTACACCAAATTGCACCCTAGGTTCGAAATTTTCGCGTCTCTGGTTTAGTTCGGTTCGGAGCGGTACACTCGATTGGGACACATCGATTGGGACATGTGTCCACAGCGGAATGTACCCCTGAGACCAAATTGATCTGATTGTTTGATTTTCAGACCTACATTTTCAATTTGATCGGTTTTTTTAGATAAAAAAAAAAAAATAATTTCGTCGGATCAATAAGACTTGATCCAGTGGTTCACGACAAAATGATTCGCCAACGTAAAACACCAGAGGTCCACAACATGCTCATACGTTATGCCATGCCGAGATTACGCTACATGCCCATATTACGCCATGCCCACATTATGCCATGGCCACATTACGTCATGCTCACAATATGCCATGGCCACATTACGCCATGCTCACACTATGCCATGGCCACATTACGCCATGGCCCCCACATGGCTCCAACAAGGGTCAGCACTGATAGCCCCACCAGTGCCCACGTGCCCACTTGGGACCGACTCACAACCACCTCTTCATGCTCGCGGTCCCCAAACCACATCACAGCATTGTCCATCGTCCAGTCCTTTCCCGCCTCCAAGCCATTCCCACGCCTTGCTTCCTCTCCACCCTCACCTCCCTCCTCTCTCACAACCCCCCCTCCATCACCTCCTCCCTCTGCTGCACAGCCCTCTCCTCCTCCAGCCTTCCTTCCCTCGCTCGGTTCGGCGGGAGGTAAGTCGTTGGGAGAGAGTGGGTACGGGGCAGGTGTTATCTGAACAGGCATGACTGAGGCGACATAGTCAGTGACTGGCACCTGTTGGGGATTGAAGGGAAGAGGGGAGAGGAGAGAGAGGGGATAGGGGAGAGGGGAGATACGGTCGAGAGAGGAGAGAGGGGGGAGAGGGGAGATAAGGGAGAGAGGAGAGAGAGGGGAGAGGGGAGAGGGCAGAGAGGGCAAAAACCTAATGAGTGTCTCAGTATGAAACAAGACCTGGTAAGGAGGCTACAGAGAAGGCGATGAAAACGGACAATTTGTTAAGATGAAAACAGGAAGTTATCATAAAGGTCCAATGGCTTCAAAGGAACAATGATGTTCCCAAGCTGGAAGCAGGGTTGACATTCTATCGCACCGCATGGCACAGCATCTGATTCCATGTCAGAGCATGGTGACTGCACCGCACAGTGTGTGAGCACATTGCAGTGGGTAAACCAGAGCATGGGAGTGCATGGTGGGTGATGGAATTGTATCGACCACCTGGTGCAGAGGCGCAGGGAAGTTGACACTGTGGTAGCCCGGAGTAGACATTAGGAACCTTGGATCGTATGACTCGAAGAGACTGCACAGGTATGGCACCTCATGGCATAGCACAGCATGGTGTGAACATTAGGATGGATGGATCGCACGACTGAAACTGCAATGCATGGTGTGGTATTGGCATGGCATGGTGTGGCATGGGCGTGGCATGATAACCATGGGAAGCATGTGAAAAGCAACCATAAAACCCACTCCTCGCTGGACATTAAAAAAGCTCGATCGTACGACTCTAAGAGACTGAACAGGGCAGGCATTGTGCGGCATGGTGTGGCATGATAGTGAAGGCGAGACTGTACACCGCCTTGAAGTCAATCTTGCGAAATGTGACAGTGATCAGTCACCAAAAAGGTGGTATTACATGGCACCTTTAGGCTGCAGGGTGCACATGCATGAGTGCGGCTGGGTTCTGCAGGATACAGCTGCATGAGTGTGAAAGCCACTAGCTTGCAACAAGAGCATTACTTTAACAGACATGATGAGAGCAAACAGACCTCACCTGGCAAGGGGGGCTGCTTTTGAGTCGATTCAAAACACAGAAATGATGAGAGCAAACAGACCTCACCTGGCAAGGGAGACATTGGAGCGAGCATTGATTTGATGCAGAAACTGCAGCGTGTGGTATGTGAAGAGATCCACGACTGTTACTCCCAGCTGGGATGAGGGAGGAGAGAGACGAGACAGCGAGGGAGGAGAAGAGCTGTGGCGACAGAGGAATGAAGGGCGAGAAGGAAAGAAGAGCAGCGTGTGGTATGTGCAGAGATCCACGACTGTCACTCCCAGCTGGACGCAGGAAACAAGGGAGGAGGGGAGTGGTGGGGAACAAAGGTGAAGAGATGGAGAGTGAATGGAATGGGCAGCGTGTGGTATGTGAATAGATCGACGACTGTCACTCCCAGCTGGACGCAGGAGACAAGGGACAAGAGGAGTGGTGGGGGAACGACGGTGAAGAGAAAGAGCAGCGTGTGGCATGTGAAGAGATTACGACTGTCACTCCCAACTGGGATGAGGGAGGAGAGAGACGAGACAGCGAGGGAGGAGAAGAGTTGTGGCGACAGAGGAAAGAAGGACGAGAAGGAAAGAAGAGCAGCGTGTGGTATGTGCAGAGATCCACGACTGTCACTCCCAGCTGGGATGAGGGAGGAGAGAAACAAGACAACGAGGGAGGAGAAGAGCTGTGGCGACAGAGGAAAGAAGGACGAGAAGGAAAGAAGAGCAGCGTGTGGTATGTGAGGAGATCCACGACCGTCACTCCCAACTGCATGCACCACAGGAGAGGGGAGGAGCGACATATTGGAAAAGAGGGGTAAGAGATGGAGAGAAAGAGCAGCAAATGCGGTGAAGAAATCGACGACCGTCACTCCCAGCTGCATGTGCAACAGACTAGGGATGAGAGGAGAGGCAGGGGAACGAAAGAGAACAGATGGAGAGCGAACGGGCAGCGTGTGGTATGTGAAGAGATCAACGACCATCACTCCTAGCTGCATAGATATTGAGATGTCTCAAAACACAATGTGAAGAGATCAACGACTGCGACCCCTAGCTGGACGCAGAAAGACGTGCGGAAGGTGAAATACTCATACCAGCATGTGACTTTCACAGAATGTGATTATAGCAGACATGTGAAGAGAGCCAAATGTGGTGCTTATCTCGGGGTGTTCTTGGACTGGCATGTGCTTACATCGAGGTCAGGCAGGTGGGAGTAGGCCATTCCAATCGCAGCATGTGATGGCAGCAAAACGTGCTTATCTTGAGATGTGCTTATGTGCCGGTACAACTTGTGCAAACATGTGCTGACATCAAGGTCAGGCAAGTAGGAGTAGGGCATCTCATAGCAGCACGTAATTGTGTAAGCATGTGATAGCAGAATGTGCTTCCTTTGAGATGTGCTTATAAATGCGTATGCTTACATCGAGGTCAGGCAGGTAGGAGTAGGACATCTCGCCCTTGGCACTGCTGGCGACAGAGACAATACCAGGGGAGTAGATCTGCACAGGGGGAGGGGGGTTACAAGGTGGCGGAGAGGGAAGTCAGGCAGGCAAGGTTGAGGCGCGAAGGGAACGGCTCTTGCAGCAACGATGCCGGGGAGTAGATCTGCAGGGAGGGGGGGAATGGGGGAAAGGGCGAAGGATGAAAGGCAATGCTGTCGCGCTTGGCACTGCTGGCGACAGAGACGATGCCGGGGGAGTAGATCTGCACAGGGGGGGTCACACGGTGGGGGCAAGGGCGAATGGCAAAGGGCGATGGTCCGTTTCAATTGGCTCTGCTGACAACAGAGACGATGCCGGGGGATTAGATCTGCAAGGAGGGGGGGAAGGGTGGAAAGGGCGAAGGGGGGAGAGGGCAAAGGGTGATAGGCAACGCTGCTGCCCTTGGCACTGCTTGCAACAGAGACGATGCCCGGGGGAGTAGATCTGCAGTGAGGGGGTCACAGGGTGGGAGGGGAGGGGGGGAGATGGGAAGGCAAGCAAGGGCGAAAGGTGAAGGGCGATGCTGTTGGCACTGCTGGGAACTGAGACGATGCCAGGAGAGTAGATCCGCACAGGGGGAGGGTTCACATCGTGGGGGGAGGAAGCGAGAGGGAGGGAAGCAAGGTCAAAGGATGAAGGGCACAGCTGACGACAGAGACGATGCCTGCACAGAAGGAGGCGGGTCAAAGGGTGGAGGGGGCCGAGGAGAGAGGGCGGCGGGCAACGGGTGACGCGCAATTCTCTCGCCCTTGGCACTGCTGCTGGAAACAGAGACGATGCCGGGAGAGTAGATCTGCAGTGAGGGGGTCGCAGAGTGAGGGGGTCGCAGAGTGAGGGTGTAAATGGCAAGGGGCAGAGCAGATGATCTGCTGGCGATAGAGGCTATTCATATAAATGGATTCAAAGAGCAACTATTCTGGGGAGATGCATTGGATAGAGTGGATGACAGGGTGGTGCGGATGACAGGGTGGTGCGGATGACAGGGTGGTGCGGATGACAGGGTGTTACCTCATAGTAGAGGGTTTGCGCCTGGCAGGTGTCAATCATGATTATGTAGAGTTAAAAGTGGCAGAGAGAGAAATAGATCGGTAAAGAGACAAACTGTTAGGTGCAGAGCAGCAGCAGAGAGCGGCATACCTCGGAGTAGAGGGTTTGCGCCTGGCATGTGTCGATCATTAGGAGGATTGAATGATACCTGCAGGTTGGGACAGGTATGGGAAGCGTTCATATAAGAGGGGATGGGATTTTGTACTTGCATTATGAGAGCAGACGAGGAGAGAATGGTAGCCTCTGAGGGGCACGGGAGGTGCTGACATGGGAGTATGAAGGAGGCTATCCAATCGCATTATGCAACCATGGGGGGGATTGAGTTGTACTTGCTGCTGTAGCAAAAAAAAGGGGGGTTAGGGAAAGGAAGAGGGAGAAGGAAAGGAGGGGGAGAGGAAGGAAGAGGGAGAAGGAAAGGAGCGGGAGGGGAAGGAAGAGGGATAAGGAGAGAGGAAGGAAGAGGGAGAAAGAAAGGAGCGGGAGAGGAAGGAAGAGGGAGAAGAAAAGGAGCGGGAGAGAAAGGAGGCTATCCAATCACATTATGCGATCATGAGGAGGATCAAGTTGTACTTGCTGATGAGACAAAAAGACGAGGGGGGGGAATTAGAAAGAGGAAATAGGGGGCAAAGAAAGAGAATTAATGGAGGGGTGGGGGGAGGGGAGGGAGGAGGGGAAGGATTGATTGAAAGGGGTGAATGCCAGGGTGCAGGTCAGGTGAGCCTGGGAGGAAAAACAGGCAAACGAATGTAGGAGGCGAAAAAATGTGTCTGAACCCGGAATCGAACCGGAGACCTCCAGTGTGTGAGACTGGCGTGATAACCGACTACACCATCCAGACATGTTTAACTTGTCAGTATTGGGAGTCAGGGGGAAGACACACCGGCGCTGCTAGTGCATGTGGTGAAAGGCGTCAGCCAGGTTTTGGGCTTGATGAGGGTTGTTCCCCACGTGGCCCGTAAGGTAGATGAGGATGTGACTGCTGCCCGTGTGACGGCAGGAAGATGCACACAGGGAGCAAGGACCCACCCATCTGTGCTGCTGGTGCATGTGGTGAAAAGCGTCCGTCTAGTCCTGGAACATGTCTACCGTGCTGGGCCTGAAGCTCTTCCTTGTCCCGGAATTTCAGAAACTTGTCTCCCCGTGGCCCGTGAGGTAGATGAGAATGCGGCTGCTGCTGTCTGAGAGAAGGACACACACAGGGAGGCAGGGAGCAAGGGCCCACACACCTGTGCTGCTGGTGCATGTGGTGGAATACATTGTCCAGGTCTTGAGCCTGCAGCTCCGGAAGGAAGATGCACACAGGGAGACAGGGACAGGGAAGGACAGCCCACATGTGCTGCTGGTGCATGTGGTGAAAAGCATCCGCCAAGTCTTGAGCCTGAAGCTCCTCCTTGTCACGAAAATTCAGAAACTTGTTCCCCCCCTGGCCCGTGAGGTGGATGAGGATGCGACTGTTGGTTGTGTGTGTGAGAGCCGGGGTGAAGAGGCACACAGGGAGACAGAGACAGGGAGGGACAACCCACCTGTGCTGCTGGTGCATGCGGTGAAATGATGCAGCCAGCTCTTGTCGCGTCAGAGGGACGACCCACCCACCTGTGCTGCTGCTGCATGTGGTGAAAGTACCCACCCACCCACCCACCCACCTGTGCTGCTGGTGCATGTGATGAAAGGCATCTGCAAGGTCTTGAGCCTGCAGTTCCTCCTTGTCTCGGAATTTGAGGAACTTGTCCCCTCCGTGGCCCGTGAGGTAGATGAGGATGCGGCTGCTGCAGTCCGTTTCAGAACCAGGAGGAAGAGGCATCTGGGAGATAAAACACACCTGTGCTGCTGGTGCATGTGATGAAAGGCATCTGCAAGGTCTTGAGCCTGCAGCTCTTCTTTGTCACGGAACTTCAGAAACTTGTCCCCTCCGTGGCCCGTGAGGTAGATGAGGATGCGGCTGCTGCCGTCCGAGAGAAGCCGCTTGCTGCGCGGAACAGACGAGTCGTGCCGCCCCGTGAGCAGGCGCAGGAACGCATCCACTGTCACCTCCGCCCCGCGGTAGTCCACCTGAAATGAAGGGGGAAGTGGGAGGAACAAGAGGGGGAGCAGAGGGGAGGGGGGTGGGGAAGGAGGGTGAGGATTGATACAAGAAGAAACGCATCCACTGTCACCTCAGCTCCGCGGTAGTCCACCTGAGAGAAGGGGGAAGTGGGAGGAACAAGAGGGGGAGCAGAGGGGAGGGGGGTGGGGAAGGAGGGTGAGGATTGATACAAGAAGAAACGCATCAACTGTCACCTCAGCTCCGCGGTAGTCCACCTGAAAGAGTGGGGCAGGGGGAGAGCAGGGGGGAGGCGGGAGGGGGAAGAGGGAGGGGGGAGGAAGGGGTGAGGAAGGGGTGAGGAAGGGCTGCCTCTGTGGTGCGGCAGGAGCGCATTGACTGTCACCTCAGCTCCGCGGTAGTCCACCTGAGAGAAAAGGGGGGCAGGGGGAGAGCATGGGGGAGGCGGGCGGGGGAAGAGGGAGGAGGGAGGAAGGGGTGAGGAAGGGCTGTGTCTGTGCTGCTGCAGGAACGCATCGACTGACACCTCAGCCCCGCGGTAGTCCACCTGAGAGAAGGGGGGCAGGGGGAGGAACAGGGGTGAGGGGAGGGGGTGGGGAAGGAACGCATTGATATAGAAGGAGGGTGAGCATTGATATAAGAAGGAACGCATCGACTGGCACCTCAACCCTGCGGTAGTCCACCTGAAAGCCAAGAGCGGGGGGGGGAAGAGGGAGGGGGAGAAGGGAATAAGGGAGGGGGGAAATGGAAAAAGGGGTTGCGGCTAAGGGGCTGCAGAAACGAATCCACTGTCATACGCACCTGAGAGGTTGACGTGGCGATCGGGGCGGTGGAAGATAGAGAATCATGTGGCCCATCAATCCCCGATTCAAACATCCCCAACACCCTCCTCTCACCTCCACGTGCTCCCCATAGAGGTTCAGGCGGTGGTCAGGGCTGTTGAAGACAGGCATGCATGCACGCCTGGCCCAGCATTACCTACTGCTAACACCCCCAAAACTAGCATCTTTAACACTATCCCTCCTCTCACCTCCACGTGCTCCCCATAGAGGTTCAGGCGGTGGTCAGGGCTATGGAAGACGCGGCCAGGGTGCGGGTTGCGGGGGTTGCAGGGCATGTTGTCCGCCAGCATGAGAATTATACGTTCGTCCGATACTCCCAAATCCCGCACACTCCTGTGGTTCAAGAGGAGGGAGTGGTTGAGAGGGGTTTTGGGGGCTGTGCGGTTTGCGGGGGTTGCAGGGCATGTTGTCCGCCAGCATGAGAATGATTCGCTCGTCTGACACTCCCAGATCGCGCACACTCCTGACGGTGGAGAGTGGTGGGGAGTGGTTGAACAGGGTTGCAAGGGGTATGGGGGTTATGGATCTTGAGGGGGTTGCCAGGGTGGGGGTTGCAAGGCATGTTGTCGGCGAGCATCAAGATGATTCGCTCGTCTGACACACCCAAGTCCCGTACACTCCTGTGGTTCAACAGGTGGGTGAGAGTGCTCGAAAGGGGTTGTAGGGGCTGTGGGGGTTGCAAGGCATGTTGTCGGCGAGCATGAGGATGATCCGCTCGTCTGACACGCCCAGATCGCGCACACTCCTGGGTGGAGAGCGGTGGAGAGTGGTGGGGTGTGGTTGAACAGGGTTGCAAGGGGTACGGGGGTTAAGGATCTCGAGGGGGTTGCAGGGCATGTTGTCCGCCAGCATGAGGATTATTCGCTCGTCTGACACACCCAAGTCGCGCACACTCCTGTGGTTCAAGGGGTTGGAGTGGTTGAAAGGGGTTTTGGGGGTTGCGGGGGTTGCAGGGCATGTTTTCTGCTAGCATGAGGATGATTCGCTCGTCTGAGACTCCTAGGTCCCGCACACTCCTGTGTGGAGAGTGAGTGGTGAAAAGTGGTAGAGAGTGGTTGAAGCGGGTTGCGGCGGTTGCAGGGCATGTTGTCCGCCAGCATCAAGATGATCCGCTCGTCCGACCTGCCCAGATCCGCACACTCCTGGGTAGAGAGTGGAGAAAAGTGGTGGAGAGTGGTTGAAGGGGGTTGCGGGGGTTGCAGAAAATGCTGTCCGCCAGCATGAGAATAATTCGCCTTGTCTGACACACCCAGATCGCGCACACTCCTGGTCACGCATGAAGGGGCAGAGTTGGGCCGTAGGGAAGGGGTGCGTCGTGGGGTGGCGCATGAGTGGCACTTTTGAGATTTGCGAGGGTTGCAGGGCATGTTATCAGCAAGTATGACAATGAATCGCTCGTCTGACACGCCCACGTCCCGCACACTCCTGGGTAGAGAGTGAGTGAGTGGGGAAAAGTGGTGGAGAGTGGTTGAAGGGGGTTGCGGGGTTGCAGGGCATGTTGTCCGCTAGCATGAGGATGATTCGCTTGTCTGACACACCTAGGTCCCGCACACTCCTGGGATGAGTCGTGGGGTGGCGCATGAGTGGCAATTCTGAGATTTGCGGGGGTTGCAGGGCATGTTGTCGGCGAGCATTAGGATGATTCGCTCGTCTGACACACCTAGATCCCGCACACTCCTGGGTACAGAGTGGTGGAGAGAGGTGGAGAGTGGTGGGGTGTGGTTGAACAAGGTTGCCAGGGGGTTATGGATCTTGAGGGGGTTGCCAGGGCATGTTGTCCGCGAGCATGAGAATGATCCGCTCATCTGAGACGCCCAGATCTCGCACATTCCTGATAGTGCATAGAAGAGTGGTGGAGAGGGGTGGGGGGTGGTTGAAGGGGGTTGTGGGTGTTGCGGGGGTTGCAGGGCATGTTGTCTGCGAGAATCAGGATGATGCGCTCTTTTGATTTCGACACACCCAGGTTCTGCCCACTCCTGAGCTATACGGATTTGGGGAATTTTTGTTGGAAGGGTAAAGAGTGTGGTAGTGGAAGGTGATTCTTAGGGTTTGCAATGCTAGGGCGCTAATGTGCATCACTGCACATGCTTGGTTAGAAGTCATGATCAACAAACAGCGGGACAGCAGGCGACTGACACGAATGGACGGCAGATGGCACGGCAGATGGCACGGCAGATGGCATGGCAGATGGCACGGCAGATGGCTGTTCCAAGAACATCTGACCCGTAACGTGCAGAGCAAGCAGCAGCACGCACCAGGCTGTATGTTACCTGTAAAGTGCGAGGGTGTTGGCGTTGTCTCGATAGTTGAGCCTGCCATGGATACAGAGGAAACCACACATTGCACAACCAATCAGCACACTCCCACACATCCCACACATCCCACACATCCCATCATCGCACACATCCCATCATCCCATCATCCCATCATCCCACACATCCCACACATCCCATCATCCCATCCGGCCCACCCTCCCGCGTAACTGATATAGCTGCGCCAAACCAAACATATCCGCATGATGGACAATCAATGTGTTAGCGCGGGCAATATCGATTCCTGATTCAATAATATTCGTTGAAAGAAGAACCTCTTGCAAATGTTCTTGTTTTCCATGACCTCCATTGTTCTCTTATTGATATTAGGGGATTGCTCTACTACTTAGAGGGCTGGTTTAAAAAAATGATCTTACACCAAATCGTATTTCTGGCCGCGGAAAAAAGAACATAGATTTTTTGCAAGAAAAAAAGCGCCTAGAAAATGATAACTTTTCTAGGCTCCATGATGGTTTTTGGCTGGCTGCAATTCCTTCAAATGCAGGCACAGAAATGTTTGATTTTATAGCAGCTGTCCATCTTTATTATCATGCAAACAAGAAGGGTACCTTTCTTCTTTGCTGGGATAATCATTTTCGGATCATCTAAAGAGGAATTTTTTTGGCTGACCAAAAGAACTTCTTTGTTTGTCTTTAAAACCTGATCAAGCGCTTTAATAGACTCTTCCCGCCCAACAAAAAGCGGCACCACCATATGGGGAAACACGACCACATCACGGAGAGCTAAAAGTGGATACTGAGAATCCGAGATCGCTTTTGTTGCTTTGGCCAAGGCTCACCTAAACTTTCATTCTAATAAAAATATGGGGACAGTTTACCCAACTGTCCCCATGAAATCTCGCCTTCCCGGCCAAAAAAAATATTGGCAGTACTGCATTCAGCAATATCGTCATATTTGTCAAGTATTAAACAATCGTCATAACCTTGATCTTGAGCCATTTTTTGGGAAATAGAAAGCATTGCATAGTGAGCCGAAGATTTACTTTGTGGAGGCATAGCATCTTCCCCTACTTTTCTCCAAGGCGTTACAATCAGTTTAAGCCCGTTTTTAAAAGATGGATTTGATTCCTGAACTAAAATTAATAAATTGCTTTTGTCATTGGATCAGAACTGATTGGCTTGACTAAGATACATAACCAACACTATTTTCCGGCTGTTAAAGAACTAGCTGCCCTAGCTAGATGTCAGGTCGTGGGTTTTGAGCCCTAATAAAATACCTCTAAGTGACGCATAAACAGCAGCTTTATTATCAGGGCCTTTTGCCACTTCCTTTCTTCTTTTATCATCCCATCATTGGACATCTCAGACGAACATGTCATGGTGGCGACAGCAAACAGAGGCGCGGGGAAACAAAGCCATGGAAAATCACAAGCCATGACGTCAGCGATACAGTCATCAGCTTTCAACTGATGCCCACAGAATGATGCTTGACTGAACAATCGGATCGGAGTGCATACTTCCGTCACATGCCTACCCATCCCCACGGACCACACGTGTAACTCAAATATCTCAATCACATGACCATCCATCCCTACACCTGGCAAATGTTTACTCCCTTTCACGGATCTGCCGCCTTCTCTCGCACAATTCAACACCCACCTCCATCCCTACACCAGACGAATCTTCTCCACTCACTCACACCTTGTTGCTGCTGCTTGCCACACCTCTCTCCTCATCACCATTCACCACCGCACTGGACCGCACCAATAAGCACTCATCAGTTGCCCGACGAACCCATCACCAGAACCCACACGTTTGCTGATACCCGCCTTGCCCCTCTCCACCCTGACACCACACACGCTCTGCTGCTGATCACCGCAACTCCTTCCTTATTACCACTCACCACCGCGCTGCACCCCACTGCACCTCATCAGGACGCACGCACTCACCAGTTCCGCGACGATCCCACCAGCACCACCCACACGTTGCTGCTGCCAGTCTCAATCCCGCTCGCCGCCATTCCTCCACTGCCTGCCTCCACATCAGCTGATCCTTCAATGAATGCGACGTGTGCGAGCAGTGCGACGATGAGCGACGCCCATGTTGCGACTACTGGCCGAGGCGTTCGGCGATTGGAGAGCGACATCTCGGTCTTCGCGAATTTTGTGACTTCCAGCAGAAGACGGACGGCAACAACGGAAGCGTCGCTCAGGGCAGTTTCAGGAATCTCCTAAAGTGGCTCAAGACGGGATTATACGTAAACTCGAATGCGAGGTTGAAGGAATATATATCGCAACGATCCCACGCGCAGGACTATAATTAATCTAGAACTTAAGTTTGCGTCAAATGTATCGACAATCCCACCCACGTGTTTGAGTTTGAGACAAACATAAAAAAACTGATGACCGCAACAAGCGGCGACAACACCGCGGATCCGAGCTGTTTTATGGCTTGCCGCATGGTAGCCAAAAGCATGCCTGTGTTGGGCCTGTGCGACGACGACGATTTTGACGAAATCTCGAGTTACCCAGTCAGGAACAAACCATTTGTATCAAATTTGATATAGGTGAATAGTGTTTAGCGGTGCCCAAACTCATAACTGTAGTCATGTACTGTACAATTTGGGGGAAATACCTCCTCGACATTCCCACGGAGGGCGGACGGGGCTCCAGAAAAGCAGCAAAGCAGAAGATATCAGGGAAAGCAAGATTCCCAGAGCTAGCACCCTTGGGAGTGCCGTGATCGTCGGAAGAACAGGCACTTGTTAGTGACGAGTGACGACGACTCCTCACCTTACGAACTCTCTCAAGAGTAATCACATTAGTATCACGCGCAGGACCGAAGCGACCGTTTTCTCCCGGTGTGCCGTTCTATCTGCGCGACCACGCACTTGGGAGACGCGCTCCGTGATCCATCAACAGTCGCCGTTCATCCATCCACGGTTGAGTGATCCATCCGCTGTCGACGCGTGGCTGTTCCATAGTATCCGTTCCTTGACTCGTCCATTTCCTTGTCAACGTCTCTTCAAGAGAAGTTGGGATCTCTACGTTCCGTATCGACGTCACGCCTCGTTGATCACCGCTTCCGTCCGTCGTCGTCCCACATTTCCGTCCGTCTCCGTCAACCTCCGTCCAGCTCCGTCACTCTCCGTCCATCCCCGTCGCCGCCTCGCATGGCGGGTCGCTCGCCGCTAGGCACGGCGGGTTTGCGGCCGGACGACTTGATGATCACCGCGAGCGACGCGGAGATCTTGCGGGAGACGTACAAAAAACTACAGCCGCACCTCAGCCACCACGCATTAATCATGTTCCTCACGTACGTACCCGCTATAGGACGCCTCTTTGCACGCATTAGGACGACGCGATGATCGCCGCGGGCGACGCGGAGATCGTGCAGGAGACTTTCAAACGGCTATAACCGCACCTCAGCCATCACGCTCTCATCATGTTCCTCACATAAGGCGGTTCGTTTCCACGCATTAGGACGCGGAGATCTTGCGAGTGACCTTGAAACGGCTGCAGCCGCATTTCAGTCACCACGCGCTCATCATGTTCCTCACCTACGTACCCTCTATAAGACGGTTCGTTCACGCACTAGGACGCAAGGATCATACTGGAAACGCTCAATCGGCCGCTACAGCCGCACCTCAGTCACCATTGGACAACGGAGGAAATGAGGGTTCCCTTCTGGTCTATGTTTCACTTTTGGTTCGTGCCTCACTGGTCATGCAACTCTCGTCGTGTTCTTCTCACTTGTTCATCTTGGTGCACTGCTCTCCTCTCCTCCCTCCAGCGTATTCGACGTGTCAGAGGAGATGAGGGACCTCTTCGGGTTCGTGCCTCACTGCTCATGCATGCATCTCATCATATATCTCTCTCTCCATCACCCCTCTCGCCAGCATATTTGACGTGTCGGAGGAGATGAGGGACCACTTCTGGTCCGTTCGTGCCCCACTGCTGATGTGCTTTTTGTGCACTGTTCCCCTCCCCTCCAGCATATTTGACGTGTCGGAGGAGATGAGGGATCTCTTCTGGTTTGTGAGGGACATGGATGAGCCGGCGCCCACCAATCCCGTGCTGCAGAGACACGCCAACACCGCCTTCAAGCTGGTATGTGGATGGGTTGGGGAAGAGAGAAGAGGGGGAGGGGGAGAGGGGGAAGGGGAAGGGAGGGGGTTTCTTTGGGACATGGACGAGCCTGCGCCCACCAACCCCGTGCTGCAGAGACACGCCAACACCGCATTCAAGCTAGTGAGTGGGGCTTTTGAGGTGGTCTGTTGGGTGGGGCGGTCAGGGCGTGCGTACTTGGTTGGGAGCAGGTGATGGAAGAAGAGAGGGGAGAGGGAAGAAGTGGCTCCTCTGGTTCGTGAGAGACATGGACGAGCCGGCTCCCACCAACCCCGTGCTGCAGAGACACGCCAACACTGCCTTCAAACTGGTGAGTGGGTGGGGGGAGTGGGGAGGGGGGATAGGGAAGGGGGTGAAGGGGATTGGAGCATGGACGAGCCAGCTCCCACCAACCCCGTGCTGCAGAGACACCGCCTTCAAGCTGGTCAGTTCAGTAAAAGGCACAAGGTGATCACTTGGGTTGGGTGATGGGTGGGTGGGAAGGGAGGGTGGAGAGGAACGAGGGGGCTTCTTTTGATTCCTTTGAGGCCTGGACGAGCCAATGCGCAGCGCAGCTCGTTTGTTTTTAGAATTCTCAAAAACGGCTTCTTTGGGTTCCTTTGAGGCTTCTTTCTCACATGGCGACGAGGCGATGCGCCATGAGAGGGCTTCCTTCTCGCTGCAATAGATGCACTGGCAGCCGGTTCCTCTAGTGCATCCATCATCATCCGTTCCTCGTGCTGCCAGTGCCAGCTAATCAGCATGCCCCCATCCCATCCATGCCATATTGGCGTGCCATTCTATGCCATGCCTGCTGGCAACCATGCTGTGACTCCCTGCCTTCCATCATCCCACTCCACTCTGCCCGTGCATGTATCGGTAACCCATCCTGCCACGTCAGATCTGTGACTCATGCTGCCAGCTGGACGACAGAGCAGCGGTGGCCGGCATGCTGCCAGCAATGCAGGCTTTGGGCGGCAGACACATCAAGTACAACGTCAGACGTCAACACATGGCGGTACGATATGACATGATGCGATGGGATGGGATGGGATGTCATGTCATGTCATTTCATGTGGTTTGATATGATATGATACTGCATGATATGATATGATATGATTTGATATGATATGATATGATATGTTATGATATGATACGATACGATACGATACGATACGATACGATACGATACGATACGATACGATATGATATGATATGATATTATATTTTATCACGTACATGTGCGAAGGACACGTATCAATTGTCCCGCTTCGTGATGAAGTCCAAGATTGTGCATGTATGGATTAGCTGGCACACACGTCAAGTACAATGTGTATGGTATGGATGGAGCATGGACCATGAAGTATGGTGCGTGGATGCATGGCGCATATAGCACCACCCTTTCAGGTGTTCCAAATGACATTTTGCATTTCTCACAGACAGTAAGCAAAGGGTGGACCGAGGAGGTGGAGGGAGCATGGAGGGAACACCAGCTCACGCTGACCAATTGTCCTCTCCCTTCTCTAATAGCCTGCCTTTCCCCACTTCTGCAGCTGTCCCCGACCATTTTTCTCCCTCCTTCCCCTGCGCCCCTCCCCTCCTCTCCCCCTCCCCCTTTCAGGTGTTTCGGATGGCATTCCTTAAGACAGTGGCCAAGGCTCTGGGCTCAGGGTGGACGGAGTAAGTGGAGGGCGCATGGAAGAGCTCACACCTTCAACACTACCACCATCTCTTCCCTCCCCATTTCCCTGCCTCCCCCACCCGCTCAGGTGTTTCGGATGGCATTCCTTAAGACAGTGGGTAAGGCTCTGGGCTCAGGGTGGACGGAGGAGGTGGAGGGCGCATGGAGCAGGGCGTATGGGAAGGTGGAGGAGATGGTTACAGCAGGGCTGGGGGGGAGATGAGAAGGTTGAATGGTGTACATGGGAGTGGGTAGGTGAGCAGAGGTAGAGGGCGCATGGAGCAGGGCGTATGGGAAGGTTGAGGAGATGGTTACAGCAGGGCTGGGGGGGGGATGAGAAGGTTGTATGGTGTACATGGGAGTGGGTAGGTGAGCAGAGGTAGAGGCGCATGGAGCAGGGCGTATGGGAAGGTGGAGGAGATGGTTGCCGCTGGGCTGGGAGGGAAATGAGAGGAAGGGGAGGGAGGTAGGAGGATGATTGCTGAAAGGTGAAAGGAAGGGGGTGATTGTTATAAGGCAAGCTGTGCTTGTTTGGTCAGCTAGTTACTGTACAGTATTGACTGAAACAAAGTGTCTTTTCTGTACTGTAATTTTAGCAATGTATCACACAAGTGGCACCCCATTTTGCAGATGAAACTCATCGAAATCTTTACTAGCATCTCTCTTTATCACATACATACTATATGGTACGTCTTTATGTCGACATTGTCAAATTTTGTAACTAACTCTTTCCTCTTCTTGTAGCCGCCGTCCTAGTTGTCCTAGTTGTCATCGTTGACCAATTTGGCCATGGCGGAAGCAATGATAGAGTGTGAAGGATCCTAACAGGAAGATGCAATGAACTAGAGTTTGCTACCCCATAAATCTTGTGCCAACATTAGCAGTATTAGGATCAGAACCTAGAAACACCAAATATGTGAGCAGTGTAGGAGCACTGTAAAAAGCGCAGATTTGTTTTTTTGCCCGACGAAAACAAGGCGACGAGGTTCGATTCCGAAGTTCATCCCAAGCCTCAAACACGAAGCTTTCGGGGTTACAAGCTAGAGGGGGATCCAGTACGGTTCTCAGAGATAAAGAGGTAGTGAGTGAGATCTACTAGCGACTGTGGTCAAACCTCGGGGTTGACTGGATGCCCCGAGAATGTCGCACATTCCCTCCTCAGATTTCGCCGCTTCTCTCGCAGCGCGGTCACAAAAATTCGCCATGCCAGCTCAAACATCGTGTCGGGCAGTCCTTGGTGCTAGTCGCGGGCAGTAGCTAACAAAATTCGTGGGCTTCAGTTGCACTAGGCAGCCAACGCGTTCCAGAATTTTGAGCGGCGGGCAGCCAAGCGACTTTTGCGGGATCAAAGCACAGTCTCAGGCTCGGGAGCGACTTGAGAGAATCCCGCGACATTCTCCCTACCGAGCCCAAGCAGCCCTCCTTCCCGAACCAAGTCAGATCCGTGCTTCCCGCCCTACCCCCATCTCCCTCCATCCATTCCGTCACTCGGCTATCTGCTGGCCAACAGAGCCTATGCCTACAAATCCGCTGCCAGAAGTCATTCTAATCGTCTCAAGTTAGCTTCTGCACACCATCGCCTCTAGCTTTCGGATTAGCTTCATTACTCACGTCCCGAAAAATCACCACGATGGTCTGACTACCCCTCGTACTTCAATGCGCTTAGTTTCTGGAAGAATCTTAGTCGCAATAATAAATGGACGCAACCGTTGGTGCAGTCTCGGAGCGCTTCCAGCAGCACGAGCAAGCTCCGTCAGGCTGACAGCTTCGGGCTGCCGTCCTGCAGCAGCGACGCGATGCTCTCCTACTCTGAGACCAACAGTGAGAGCGTAGACGACTCCAGCCGCAGAGTATCCTGTCTTAGTTTTGAGACGTCTCAAAGCAGCGAAGCCGGCGACGCGATGCTCTCCTGCTCTGACACCAGCAATGAGCACGGTCTAGTAAACGACTCCAGCCGCAGCGAAGCGTGTCTCTTTTGCTAGGAATGGTTGACAAGGTCCGTCGATGCTGGATCGGCCGCCTTCGGATCCTTTGGCGTCTGTACCGACGGCTGTGACGTCGGAACCCCCCGCGCTCTCGGAATCGTTGACATCAGAACTGCTGGCGTTAGATTCAATGACTTTGGAATTGACAACTTCGAAAGCGATCCCATCGGAAGCGGCTGTCGCGTCGAAACCCCTCACCCTCTCGAAATCGTTGACATCGGAACTGTTAGCGTCAGAATTGACCACTTCGGAATCGACGACTTCGAAAGCGGTCGCGTCGGAAGCGGCGGCGGCGTCGGAACGGTTGGCGTCGAAATCAATGCATTCGGAAGCGGTGGCGCCGGACGCGGTAGAAGTAGCGCCGTCCGCAACGGCGTCAGAAGCGGTGGCATCGCAAGCGGTGGCGTCGCAAGCGGTGGCGTCGCAAGCGGCGGCGTTGGGAGCGGTGACTCCGAAACCAGCGGGGACATTGCAAGCAGAAACATCTTTATCGCCGGCTGAAGGTTCCCTGACCGCGGTAGCATCTGGCTTGGTCAAGGCAGTAAGAAAATCAGAGCCTACCTCACTCCTCCTGCCATCGCGCATCCCCAAACCAAGCGGTCAGAGAACGATGTTCGTGAAAAACTGCGCGGGAGAGGCGACGACGCTGATTCCGCGGCCCGCAGGAGCCGCTGCGGCAGAGCGGCAGGTGCGAGGACGTAGGAGCTCCAACGGCACGAAGCAGCAGGAGGAGAGGAGTGGTGTGATTTCCACAGCTCGGAGTATTGGGAAGCCTCGTACTGGATCGTCATCCAAGGTTGTGCTGGCTGCAGCAGAACGGCAGGTGCGAGGAAGGAGGCATTTGAAAAGCCCTTACAGGGCCGTCATCCAAGGTGTTGCTGGCTGCTAGCTCGCGACGTCCATGGCGGCCGTAAGCACTGCTGCCAGTCGCTGCATACCCCTGCACGCAGCTGTAGAGTCGAACTTCCAAGCTGCTCATCCAGCAAGACTGGAAACAGCTGGGTTAGGAAGACTGCAGCGGGGTGAACGGGTGGAGGGCACAGAAGCAGAGCCGCAAGCAGAAGGCAGCAGTGGGGCGGTGGCTGGGTGGTTGGAGAAGTGGGACGATGGTGGGACCCTTTTTTGCACCCTGCTCGTCAGGGTGTTCAGGAGAGTGGGTTGGGAAACGGTGAGGAATGGAAGGTTGATAAGATAATCTGCTGGCGTGTGGCTTTGGCTGGGCTTTAAGTGCGGTCCTCAAGGTTGGTGGCATCACGGGTCTGGTCCGGTGCGCTTCCAAAGGGATGGCTTCGGTCCGGTTCGCTCCCTAAGGGATGGCTCTGGTCCGGTGCGCTTCCAAAGGGATGGCTCTGGTGCGGTGCGCTCCCGAAGGGATGGCTCTGGTCCGGTGCGCTCCCAAGGGATGGTTCTGGTCTGGTGCGCTCCTGATGGGATGGCTCTGGTCCTATGCGCTCCTGATGGGATGGCTCTGGTCCTATGCGCTCCTGATGGGATGGCTCTGGTCCTATGCGCTCCTGATGGGACGGCTCTGGTCCTATGCGCTCCTGATGGGATGGCTCTGGTCCTATCCGCTCCTGATGGGATGGCTCTGGTCCTATGCGCTCCTGATGGGATGGCTCTGGTCCTATGCGCTCCTGATGGGATGGCTCTGGTCCTATGCGCTCCTGATGGGATGGCTCTGGTCATATGCGCTCCTGATGGGATGGCTCTGGTCCTATGCGCTCCTGATGGGATGGCTCTGGTCCTATGCGCTCCTGATGGGATGGTTCTGGTCCTATGCGCTCCTGATGGGATGGCTCTGGTCCTATGCGCTTCTGATGGGATGGCTCTGGTCCTATGCGCTCCTGATGGGATGGCTCTGGTCCGGTACGCTTCCAATGGCTGGGATGAGCATGATGTATCTTTAACCATGCCGACTAGACACTATTGTCGCACATCTTGTGTTACCGGTAGGTTCATCAATATATCCGTTTAAGTTCTTCAGTAATGAACAAAAACAAACTACCGTATGTGGGTGTGAGAAGAATGGCAGTTATTAACTAGGTTGTTGAGCAAAAACTAACTCATTGACGCACCCTAAGCACCCACTTGGTGAGCCTGATTCCTGAACAACTGGTTACAAAACATTGACACAACACAGCACTTTCTACACCAACCCAGCTCCAATCCATGGTTGCCTACGTAAGCAATTGTTTGGCTATATACGGTACATTACACAACCTGTATTTCTCCTGTCTATCCATGCCCCTTAATCTCCACCACCAACTTATCACCTCTGAGCAGAAACAACCAGCACCAGCTGGCCTGCCCTCTCCACACGAGCCTCGCTGCTCCACCGCTCAACCACCAAAACCCCTAACGAACTGCTCATTGCTTCCTTACCTCCATCCTCCCTTTCCCTCCCTCCTATTGCCCCAACCCAGGCCGCTGTTTTGAGGCACCTCAACAATAGGCCCTAGTTTTCACCACCCAATCACCTCCAAGCAGACACAGCCAGCACCGGCTGCCCTTTCCACATGAGCCTTGCAGCACCCCCCACCGACACCACTTCAAATCTCCCATCCCTCCGTTCTGTTGTCTCTCTCATCGCAGCAAAGGTCTCACTCCCCAGCCTCACCTCCTCAAACCCTAACCTGCCCATCCGCTCCTGCCACTGCTCCAGCCTCTCGGCGCGTATCAGCCGTTGGATCCCCTCGCATCCGACGCAGTTGATGAGCTCGCGGAACAGCACCCCCTCCCAGAGGGAATGGACGGGCGAGATCAAGGCATCGGGCTTGGTAGAATGGATGGTCGAGATGAAAGCGAGCATGGATCGGAAGGTCTCGCGCACGCGGGCGAGGAAGAAGGGGCCGTTGAGGGCCGCGTCGACCTCTGCTAGCAGGACGAGGCGGGGCTCGAGAGCCTGGATCCACTGGAGGGGTTCAAAGGGGTTTGTCGGGGTTTGGAAGGAAGGGAGCGAAAGAGAAGAAGGGGCCGTTGAGGGCCGCGTCTACCTCATCACATCTCTATAGCACAGCAGTTCGCACCTTCAACACCGCATCTCTTGGGTTGTGCCTGAGAACAGAGTCATCTGGAAAGAGCAAGAGCGTCCAGAGGGTGCAAACCACCACCTCCTTCCTACCCCCTCTCCTGGTTAGCTATCACACTTCAGTCTCACCTGCACCCCTTAGTACCGCATCTCACCTTGAGCACGGCGTCTCGTGGGTTGTGTCTGAGAACAGAGTCATCTGGAAAGAGCATGAGCGTCCAGAGAGTGCAAACCACCACCTCCTCCCCCGGCTGAACCTTCACCATGCCCGGATGCAGCGACTCCAAAGGCACATCCACCATCTCAAACGTCACGGGCACCCCCAAAACTTTTGCGAGCTGCCCAAAGAACGGCTGCCCGAAGGAGGAGAGGCTGAGGGCCGAATCGAGCTGAACCGCACTGCCGTTGATGCCTGTCACGCGGATGGAGAGAGGCGGGGGGGAGTGGGGATGCTGCTGCTGCTGCTGCTGCTGCTTGTGCTGCTGCTGGTGGTGCTGCTGCTGTTCTGTGCCACCCTTCTCTGCAGCTTCCCTTTCCAGCCCTGCGAACAGCACAGCATGAGCAGCAGCAGTCACAGCAGCAGCCGACTCTGAAAGGCCACACCCGCTGCATATGCCCGCACCTACCTCCCACCCCACACTGCCACTGCCACTGCCACTGCTGCTGCTGCTGCTGCTGCCTTTGCCTTCCCCCACACATGCTACAGGTGCCACTACTGCTGCTGCTGCTGCTGCTGCTGCTGCCAGGCTCACCCGCTGCAGTGCTGGATTCAGGGCTAGCAGCGACAGTGGTGGCAGCTGCAGCAGCAGCAGCAGAGGCGGCAGCAGTAAAGGACGGAGGGGCAGTGGGAACAGCACCAGGATCAGCAGTTGCTGCAGAAGAAGCACCAGCAGCGGCGGCGGCAGCAGCAGCAGCAGCGGCAGGGAAGCCACAGGCAGCAACGATGCGGCAGAGGAGGGAGGCCCACTGAGGTGCACCCATGAAGCCAAACATCACCAGGTGAATGCGGCGTGGGGGAGGGGTGGGGGACGAGGAAGGAGGCGTGGGGGAAGAGGAAGGAGGCATGGAGGAAGGGGAGGGAGGCAAGGGGAAAAAAGAGGGAAATGCAGCTGTCTTTGTTGCTGATGCTGCTGTTGCTTCTGCTGCTGTTGCTGCTGGTGCTGTTGCTGCGCTTGAAGCTGGTAGGTCTGGGAGTGTTGGTGCGGTTGCTACTGCTACTGCTGCTGATGCTGTTATGGCTGCTGCTGCTGGTGCTAGTGGTGGTGTGTGTGTGGCAGTGGTGCACAGAGCACGAGGCACCTCGTGGAGGAGAGCAGCAAAGACGAAGTTGATTGTCAGGATGTTGGACTCGTGGGAGTGGCCCACAGCTGCCCTGACATCTGCTGCAGACTGTGGGTGGTAAAGAGCGGTGGAGAGGAATAGGGAGGTGTTTTCGGGGATTTAGTGGTGCACAGAGCACGAGGCACCTCATCGAGGAGAACAGCAAAGACGAAGTTGATGGACAGAATGTTGGACTCGTGGGAGTGGCCCACCGCCGCCATCACATCTGCAGCAGACTGTGTGGTAAAGAGCGGTACAGATAGATAGGGAAGTGATATGAGGGCGTTTAGAAGTTGATGGACAGGATGCTGGACTCATAGGAGTGCCCCACTGCCGCCATCACATCTGCTGTGCTAAGTGTGAGAGGGGAGAAAAGGGGAGTGAAAGAGGAGAGTGTTTTGAGGTGCGTGCTTAGGGAGTTGATCGACAGGATGTTGGACTCATTGGAATGACTCACTACCGCCATCGCGTCTGCTATGCTTTGCGTGTGGCGGGGGCGGACACTTATAGAGTTCCAAGTCAAGGTGAAAAGCTGGGGAGGAGAGAGGGAGGAGGAAGGGGTGCAGCGAGTGGCATGGCACATGCTGTAGGCTCTGGAGGCGAGGCGAGGATCTATTAGTGCCCGCCCTCGCCACACGCAGAGCACAGCAGACGTGATGGCAGCAGTGGGGCACTCCCACGAGTCCAACATCCTATGGATTTACTGTCCCCTCATCGCACCTCCATATCTCATTATCTATCTTTATCCCTAAAGCAGTGCCATCCGCCCTCGCCTGCAGAGCCTGCAGCATGTACCATGCCACTCGCTGCCCTGCATGCTCCCCCCCACTCACCTCTCGCCTCACACATAGACCACCAAACCAGCAGCAACCCACCGTGACTTTGTATTCGACCGGAGCTCGCCATTTCACAGCAGCAGTGCCGTCCGCCCTGGCCTCCAGAGCCTGCAGCATGTACCATGCCACTCGCTGCACTGCATCCCCCCTCTCACTCGCCTCCCCCCGCACCTTCTTCCCCCACCGCCGCGCCAGCGCCCAGTCCCCCACTGCGTGCGCCTCTGCTAGCTTCAGCACGTGCTGTCTCAGCCGCCGCTCCCTCTCTTCCTCCCTGCTGGGTTGTGAGGGGACGCCCACGCGTCGAAGGGACGAGTCTGTGAAGAGGGAGAAGTCGAATTGAAGGTTTGGGCGCAGGTGGAGAGCGGTGGTGAGGGGCGGGTGTTGAGAGGAGGGGGGCCGAGGAGAAGGTGAGAAAGTGGGGGATATGGGGGTGTGCGAAGAGAGGGCGAGGCTGGGTGGATGCTGGATGGGCTGGGAGGCTGAGGTGTCTTGAGTTGACAGACGAACATGCTGGGTCTGAAACAGGTGGAACGGGACGGAACCATGTTGCTGCTGCTGCTGCAATCGCCCCTGCAGCAGTGGTGTTGATTGCGCAAGCTGCATATTTCTGTGCATTTGCCCCTGAGGCTGCTCCTGCTGCATTGTCTGCTGCTGCCAGTGCATTAACTGTTGCTGTTGCCATTGCGTTTGCTGCTGCTGCTGCTGCTGCTGCTGCTGACGCTGCTGCATTGGCTGTTCCTGCTGCATTTGCACCTGCCGCTGCTGCTGTCTCTGTTGCGCCTCCATCGCCCCCTGCAGCTCCTTCAACCGTTCAAGCCCACTCGACAGGCTCTGCAACACACTCACCATCTCAATCGCCATTCCAATTCCAACCCCCCCTTGCACAGCCATTCCTGTTCCAACCCCCCCTTGCACAGCACCCCTAGCTGCTGCTGGTGACCCTTCCCCTCCTATCACCCCCTCTGCTTCCCCTCTCGCTTCCGCTTGTCCTGCTATAGCACCCAAACCAATGGGTGTTCTTTCAAGCAGGGTCGTCTGGACAGGTGCAAGGCCAATATCTTCTCTGCCCTTTGCCTGAACCTCGCTGTATTCCGTACCTGGGTCCCCACTTGCTGGGCCTAATTCCGAGCCTTTATTCGAGCCTGACTGCGTGGCTCGGCTGCCAGGCACGGGCCGAGCCGCCGGCCGAGGCTTGGAAGAGATTCCACGGATTAATGACGCTAGGCGAGTGGTCAGATCGCCCCTACGAATCTTGCCAGGGGGTGACGTGTCCCTGGGAAGGTTCGTAGTTCTGGAAGGAAGCTTCTCAACTATGGACGGAAGCTTCGCTGGTATTACTGTAGCAGGAAAATCAGTTTTGTACAGTGGGTCTTGTGTCCTCCCCTCCATCTCGGCTGGGAGTGATGCCTGAAGCGGAAGGTTAGGGAAAGTAGGTTTGCTTTGAGCGGCTGAGGATGGTGACGTGTCAATCAGGGTATCCATGTCAGAGGGTGACGTGTCAAGAATGGCTTCCAAGTCGCATGCATTAAGGGGGGAGTCAGCTGACGAGCCAGGAGGAATCACCAACGGGATTTCCACGTCACCTATCACCATTACACATGGATTTGCCAGGTCAGATGGTACACTTCTGACGTCACCACCTGGCTGACCTTCTTCGCTGACGGTGTTAGCTGCAATAAGAGAGCTTGTTTCGTAGTAAACTGTATCGGTGTTGCCTTCGATCCCTTCACACCCACTAAAATCTACCGCAGAAGTCGCGAAACCGCGACCGAAGTTTCCAGCCGGACTTTGGAATGAATCTCCGTCAAAACGACGGTGATTAAGCAGTGAAGCTTCCTCCATAGTTCTCCCAGGAAAATCCACTATTCACCAATAATTCGACGCTAAAAGGACTTTAGTTGGGAAAGTACTATGCGAGCGTTGTTCCCAAGAAAGTACTACTTCACTTGACAAACACCAAATCTTGATACTGCGCCGCGATAATAAGAGGAGAGACGGCGAAGCCAGCGACTCCAAGAAGCCTATCTGCTGCTCTTGCACTGCTGCATCTACCATTGTCGACCAATGCCAGCGATCATACCGTATTACTTCCTGTGCTATCGTTAAACTTCTCCACAGGTGCACCACCGTCGGTCGGTGCTGCTTCCGTTGGAATCGACAGCGTCGGTATTGCCGCCATCAGTACGAAGCAGTTACGCGAGGCTCGGCATTGCTGCCATTGGTGGTTTCGGCAGGCATCGGGGTTGCCGTGCAGTCCGCTAGCAATTTTGTAACTGATTCCCAAAACTGGCAGCAAGGACGGATGATGAACCCAAGGTGGGGATGTAGGCGAATGGTTTTGATTTGACGAACGTCGCAGTACGTTTCAGTGGGATTCCTCGTAGTACACAACGGTTCTAACGTGCACCGCTTTTCAGGGTTGCGTACTGAACAAAATTCTGCTACATGAATTGGAAACGAACGCACGCACCTTATGAGGAACAGCGAAACGAGGAAAGTCTGTAACGGGGTTTGAGAGCCCACTGTTCCAAGCCTGGAAACCACTCTTTAACGTATTCACTCGCTCTAAACCATCTTCAGTCCTTTTGTAGAATGACGGCCACCAAATGCAGACATACATCTCGGTATTGTCTTGGCAATCCGCGGTCACGCTTGTTTCTGGTGGCTGTGTGTGATCCCATACCTGCTGAGACGTTATGGCGTACGAAATCATGCGCGCGACTCCAGACTGCCAGCGGTGATCCGTTTGTGCCACTCAGCTACAAGTGCTCAGGCATCACTTTCTGGTGATCTGAACATTCCTTGCAATGTTTTCTCCAGCTCCCTTTCCTGTCTGCGCTAGTATCAGCTCTCAACAGCGAATCTCAGCCGTAGGTTCCTCATCCCACACCAGCATCAGCTGCATTTTGCAATTCCGAGCCGTAGGACTCTGCATTTCCCATCGGACGGTCGAACTGATGCCGCAAGTAGTCGCGGGTGGGATGTAGCTATGGTAGAAATAGGGTAACCCGATCTTCAGTTGAAGTAACCCGTGCGTTAAATGTTTCGAAACCGAAGCCACAATTCCTTACATGAGACCCTAGCTCTAGCGTGGCGTGTGAGAGGAAGCA